AAACTTAAATACTTGATACAAAAGTCAGCTCTCACGGGGACATTAGCTTGCGTGTGTTGTTCCTCTATGCTATTATTGCATAGCATAATAGCATAGAAATGGTATCCTGAGAGTGTGTCATTATTCTGGTTCAGAAATAATGTCTTGTGCTCTCACTTCGGGCTCTTCAGGTTGCTAGTAACAGAGACCCACTCATGTTAGCTCAAGGTAGATAAATAACAGATTTATTAAAAGAACCTGTTGGGTTCCCTGGTAATCCAAGGGCAGGAAGCACTTTACAGTTGCAGCTATAGAAATTGGAACTGGGAAGCAGAAAACAAGGTTGTTTTCTGTGTATCTTTGCAATTGGGGTTGTCGTGGCCCCTCTGCTTTTCTCTCTTGTCTGTAGACTGATGGACTTGTTTAGGGCAATGACGGGCACTCCAGGCCTTCTAGATCATGACAACTCTCAGTGTATCCTGTTGGCTTCTGTCCTGCCTGAGTGTCTCGATCCTAAATTCCCAAAAGATGGATTTAATTGGCTCAACCCATCTTTTTGCCCACAACCACAGGTTTTAGGATTCTGGTCAGCCTGTAGGTTGGTTGCCCTTACATTAGATGTTCTGCCCCCCACTTCTCCAGTTGGCTGTGGTTTGTGGGGTGAGAGGATCCAGTGCTTAAAAAAAACTCTGGTGGTTCCCACTTGGGATCTGTTTTGGATAGAAGAATGATGATAGACACACCTTATTGGAATTGCTTTGTAACTTAAAGGGGTTTCTAAAAAGCATATCTGTAGCTTTGTAATGCTTTGTGGTCATTTATGTTTACCTTGTTCTGACAGTGCTTCTTAAACTTGAGCTTTATGGTTTTCCGTGTCCTATTAGACTCAGTTAGGGGCCTTGGACCAGTTAGGGAGCTTCAGTTTTGTTTTTTCAGCACTCACTCAAATTCATCCTAGTCCAGCCTCTTAGGGTATTTGTAAACCAACAATTGCATGTGTCCACAACAGAGGCTAATATTTGATAGCAGAGTTCTATGGTGAATTTTGAATGGGAAAATCTTCTAATAAAAAAATCTAGGGGCCGGCCCGGTGGCGCAAGCAGTTAAGTGCATGCGCTCTGTTGCAGCAGCCCGGGGTTCGCCGGTTCGGATCCCAGGTGCGCACTGACACACTGCTTGGCAAGCCATGCTGTGGTGGCATCCCATATAAAGTGTAGGAAGATGGGCACAGATGTTATCCCAGGGCCAGTCTTCCTCAGCAAAAAAAAAAAAAAAAAGAGGAGGATTGGCAGATGTTAGCACAGGGCTGATCTCACACAAAAAATATCTAATGAGATAACCTCCAAAATCTATTAAATTTTCCTGTGTGCTTTTTTTTTTTTCCTGAGGAAGATTCGCCCTGAGCTAACATCTCTTGCCAGTCTTCCTCTCTTTTTTGTATGTGAGTGGCCACCACAGCATGGCCACTGACAGATGAGTGGTGCAGGTCCGCGCCCGGGAACTGAACCCAGGCTGCCAAAGCAGAGCGTGCCAAACTTAACCACTAGGCCACTGGGGCTGGCCCTCCTATGTGCTTCTTCTTAAAACTAATTCCTGGCTAGGTTGGATTTGTTGGGCTAGTTGCTATGTGAACTTTCATCCTACTCTTTATGATTTGGCCTTTTTTATTTTTAATAAAAAATGTATTTACAGTTTGGGTATTCTAGCCTGGGGAAGTATATATGTGCCACACTCACAGTTTTGTTAGTTAATTTATGATCAATACTTCATGGTCCTTGAAAACAGAATCTTAAAATAATGAAAATCACTTATGTTCAGTGGTAATAGTAATCATTTCCTAATTTTTAAGATTAGTGGTAAATACTGGCTCAAATATATTACAGATAAAAGTATTTTGATAAATTATTGTATTTTAAATTTCTGGCTTCTAATTAAAAAATAGAAATGTCTTATTAGAAAGCTTATTATAAGTAGAACTTGCATTTTACTCTAGAATAAAGGACATGAATTTATAAGCCAATAGTTGAATTTTGGTGGTGATGTTTTAAAGGTTTTTCATTTTTATGTTATTTTACTTAAACAGAAGTGTCCTGTTTGAGTATATATGTTCTGTTATACACCCCAATACCCCATGATCAGTCATGTCCTGGGAGAGACAAGGACAGAATTAGTATGACCCAGCCTTGACTTTCCAGGCAAGTGGTCTCCCAATCTAGCCTCTTTTCAGAATTACTTGCTAAGTTTTTAAAAATATGGATTCCCAGGCCTCAACAGAGCTACTGCATCAGAATCTCTAGGGGTCCATTTTATAATCTGTACTTTTTGTGTGTGTGTGAGAGGAAGATCAGCCCTGAGCTAACATCCACGCTAATCCTCCTCTTTTTGCTGAGGAAGACCAGCTCTGAGCTAACATCTATTGCCAATCCTCCTCCTTTTTCTCCCCAAAGCCCCAGTAGATAGTTGTATGTCACAGCTGCACATCCTTCTAGTTGCTGTATTTGGGACGCCGCCTCAGCACTGCCGCACAAGCGGTGCGTCGGTGCACGCCCGGGATCCGAACCCGGGCCACCAGTAGCGGAGCGAGTGCACTTAACTGCTAAGCCACGGGGCGGGCCCCTGTACTTTTTTTTTTTAAGTTGGTAATGAATTCTACATACAGCCAGGTTTGGGAACCATTCTATGCCTCTAGTTTCCAGTCTGACCGAAAAGGACATCTTTCATCAGGATAATTGCACCTTGAGAACTTTCTCATGGGCAGGAGGATTGTTCCATTTAACAAATGCTTACTAGGTGTGTATTGTATCCAAGGCATTATAGTGTGCTATGGGAATTTATAAAGATGCATATGAATATAGATTTTACCATTACTGCCCCCAAAATACTTTTGGCTGGCTGGTGTATGTGAGTCTCATTGTGATGTCTTGAGTTTTTCAAGGATCATAATATGATTCTTAATTACAGCGTTGATACACTGTAATTTGTAGTGATGTTTAAAAAATTCTTACTCACATGTGGTTTTGGGAACCACACTGGGTCTTTGAGTTTCAAGTTGGCTGCTTCTGTCTGGGCTCCACCATCCTCCACATGTTACGTTTGTGTCATACTTGTTCTTAATAATGCTATTATAATCTCGTGCTACTGGGCAAGCTAATGCCATGAGGAAACGAGCACATTTGGTGGATTTGGGTTCTTTTCCTGTTTTATACTGAATGGAAGAGTGATGTTTAGATATCTTTAAAGGTGTTGTATACTTGGAGGAGTTGTTTTCTGGAGGTCTATTGGCTTTTGTATACGGATAACGAAGCATCATCTTCAGATTTCAGTATTTGTTGGTTTGAGTAAAGTGGCCTTGGGAGTTCCTGGTTGGCTTTGTGCTGTCGTGTCACTAGGTGGAGATGTAGCATTGTTTGGTGATGTCGCCAAAGCAAAAAGTGAGTCTTGATTTCTTTTCTTTTTATAAATGTACTTGACAGATATTTGATGAGGTTTATTACACTCTAGGAAAAAACTTATAAATTTAGTATAATTCTAAATTTTAATTTTCTTTTTTTTAGGGTTTAAATTCAATCCTACTTTAATGGCTACTTTCACACCGAGCAACTCTTTTTTATAGTTTTCTCCTCTTACTAACACTTCCTTTGGCTATCCTTTATTATTTCTTTTTTTTTTTTTTTAAGATTTTATTTATTCATGTTTTTCCCCCCAAAGCCCCAGTAGATAGTTGTATGTCGTAGGTTCACATCCTTCTAGTTGCTGTACGTGGGACTCGGCCTCGCGTTGGACGGAGAAGTGGTGCCTTGGGGCGTGCCCGGGATCCGAACCTGGGCCGCCAGCATCAGAGCACACGCACTTAACCGCTAAGCCACGGAGCCGGCCCTCCTTTATTATTTCTTTACTTGTCTATAAAGACAAAGTAGATGGGTGGTTGCCTAGAGCTGGGTGGGTGGGGGTGGGGGGAATGACTGCTGATGGTTACAGAGTTTCTTTTGGGGGTGATGAAAATGTCAAGTTGATTGTGGTGATGGATGTACAATTCTGCAACTACACTAAAAATCAGAGAATTGTGTGTACACTTTAAATGTATACTGTATTGTGTGAAAAGTATAATTCAATAAAGCTGTTTTTAAAAAATAAGTTATCAAAAAGTTTAAAATTGATCAAACCAAGGAATATTTATTGAGCATCTACACAGGCATATACTAAGTTCTATGTGAGTTAAAAACAAGCGTAAGACACAAACCCTGGCCTCAGATTGCTCACAGGTCAAGAGAAAAGGCACAGGTGCAGTGGATAATAATGCAATTTGCTTTCTGAATTTGTTCTCCATCTTTTAGGATGTAACGTCCTGAATTCCCTCTTCCAGCTATCTCTGTAATGGCCCTGATCTTCTTACCCTATGAATTTTTTTTTTTCCTTTCCAAAGCAAACTGTTGTTCCTGAGACTCATAAATATCAGCCCCCACCTGTTACCTTTAACTAGCTTAAAGGACGTTTTAAAGCAATAGTAGTGTCTCCAATACCATAATTGTGTGGCTCATGGAAACCCATTCATTCAGCAAATACTTATTGATGTTTTATGTACAAATAATTGGCAAATCTTAAGACTATTGGCATTATTATTATTTTTTTTAATTGCAACAAATATCTTTTTGGTACAATTTAGTCAAGTTGCATGGTGTTTGAAAGTATAGTCTTGAGTTTATAGATTTTCATGAAAAATGCTTTTAGGAATATTTAAAAGTTAAACAAATATATACTTAGTATACAGCTGGCCATATTGTCATTAGTGCACTATTTTGATATTATCATGGTCATTAAAACTTTAGAGAAAGAGAAATTTTCGTTCAGTTATAATGATTCTGTTAGAGCCAAAAAAACCTATTTTTTTAAAAGGTGGTAGTCAATTAATTCTAAACCCATCAAGTTAGAAATTGTCCTTATTTGTTTATTCTATTAAATCTATCCATCTCTGTGTCCCTATGTTATTAGTGTAGCAACCAAAGGTTTGTCTTTCTTTGCAGATGCGTATGAGACTGCCAAGATGCTGTGTGAACAGTATTACCTGGTAGCTCCAGAGCTGGAAGTTGAAGAATTCAATGGTAAAAGAAAAATAATTTTAACCTTAAATACAAAGAAGTAGACTAAAACTCTGATTATACCTGAGCTATATTTCAGTGAGATCCTAAAATTATGTTGCTTTTTCATCTTTTATATCTTTTTCAAACCTTTTCTATATCTTTGGTCAGCTAAGTATATTATTGTAAGGAGTTTTTGTACAGGAATGTGTAATCTATTAGAACTCAGCGTTCTTGGAACAGAAGTAATCAAGGTAGAAAATACACAAAGATATAAATAGGCAGTTCTCAAAAGAACAAATACAGACAGTCAATAAACATGTGGAAAAGCGTTTAACTTTACTAATCAAGTACAGACAAGATCGTAGAAAAATGCCATTTTTGTCTTTCAAAATGGCAATGATTAAAGCATTTTAATGCTTTGAATTGGTGCCCAGGAAAATACCCTCACCAACACTTATACATTTCTGATGTAAGTTTAAATTAGTACAGCCTTTCTAAAAAGTGCTAACAATGTTCTTTCTTTTCGCCCAGTAAATTAAATTAATAATGGTCATATTCTTTGGTCTAGTAAATTAAACTTCAGAAAATAAGAAACTAGAGATATGCACAGATATATGTCCAAGAATGATGGGCACAATGATTTTCTTATAGAGAAAAATTAGAAAACAAGCCAAGTTTTCCACAATAGAGGATTTGTTAAATAAATTGTGGTACACCCATAAGATAGAATACTATGCAGCCATTCAAAATTATGCTTTAAAAGAATATTTAATGTATGGGAAAAGTTGAGTTTTTTAACACAGGCTATCAAAGTTTGTAATGGTGCAAGTTCATGGAAAATATGTTGAAGGGCTTATACCACCAAAATACAGAAAACAGCTCTCTGGATATTGGGGTTATAGCTGATTTTTATATTAGTCATATGATTCTGTATTTATTTACATTACTTTAATTTTTTTATTTGTAAGTTACAAAAGAGACATGCTCATTGTAAAAATCAGACAATACAGAAATGGAGAGTAAAAGGTGAAAGTTCCCACTGCTCTCTCAGTCCTGTACAGAGCTTTGTTTTTTACATAAATGAAGTTGAAACTATACATGTTCTATAACTTGTTTTTCATTTCACCTTGAAGATCTTTGCATGTATTAATGTCATTTAGAGATTATCCATAGTGTAGATTACCATAATTTATTCTTATATTATTCAATATTTATTATATTTGTATAATATATTTATTCCATATTTATATTATTAATTCTTATTAATCATTGCCCATTGGGTGGACATTTAGGGTTTCTAATTTTCCCATATTCCATATAATGAGCAATGAAGGTGTGTGTGTGTGTGTGTGTGTGTTTGGAGAGTGGGAAATTGTGAACGTGTGGAAGTACTTCTGTAGGTTAGATTCCTAGAAGTGGAATGACTGAGTCTTAGGGTATGGGCATTTACAGTTAAAGATAAACCAAATTCCCTCTCAAAAATATTCCAAAAATGTATTTCTCTTATAATGAGATCAAAATGTGAAAAGACTTCAGGCTGCCGTTGTAGGGCAATTGCTGCTACATTCTACTAAAAGGTATGGAGTCAAAGCCACTTTCAAAGTCTGTTGGGTTCTCTAAGACGAGGTCCACCCCTGCTTTGAATAAATACACTACCAGAACCTATAGGACTTTGCTTGAGTATTCCTGAGTAGAAGCATCTTAGTATTCTCTGTTTCTTCCTACGGTCTAGGTGGGGCGTGACCTCACTGTCAAGATTTCTGTTTCTCAAACATGGAACTTCAATTCGCAGGTAGTAACCAATTGCTCTTTTGCATGAATGGCAGCCTCACTCACTCCGAAGGCCAGAGTAGCGAGCCTGTTCTTGCTGATTCCCAGGTGCCAGCTGTGTCAGCACATGCCTTAGTGAGGCTGTCGCGCTGGACAGCACACTCCTCCAGGAGAGGAGCTTTACAACTATTTTTGGCACTATCTCATGTGTGATTTTTGAATCCCATCACTAAGATAAATGAATGCTGGTGGTTATAGGTAGCCTCTAGTTTCCTGTTGCTTTGGGTAATGTACTGATGATTTATATTTATGATTTCTTGAGTGCCAGAACTCTTTGTGGGCACAGTTAAGGACTACGCTTTAGCTCTAGCAAGCTCCATGTTAGAGATGCAGGTCAGTGGTTGGTCCTGCACACCTTAAGCAGATGCTGTCGCTTTATAAGGAGAGTGTGTGACTGTTTTCCAGGGAGGAATCAGATCCAGATTCCTTTGGATTCATTTGTAGAGCCCGTGTGACCTAGCATAGCATCCCCTTTCAGGATGCTTCTGCTACCCAATGGGTGCCTTTAACAATAGTTGGTGATAGTGCCTGCTGCCCTCTGCCGTGCACTTCAGAGGAATGAGGCTGCCATTAACCCTAAACAACAATTTGTTGCTACCTGATAATTTAAGTTCTGTTAGTTTGACATCTTTTTTTCTGAATTTTTGAGTTTTTTCTTTCCCAGTGTAGACCCTGACAAAGTAGTAGATAGGATTATGTAGAGCATACTGTGCAAACACCATCAGTATTTACCAGTCCTCACTAGAATTCTGAATATTGGGGGCCAGCTGTAGTAAACTTTCTTTATTATCCTTTCTGTAACACATTTAACAGAGACATTAAAAATAACAGAATTTTACCTTATATAAAATTGTTTACCTTATGTCTGGTTTCAAATATTTCTGACTAGCCACCTGTGGCAACCCATGTGGGTTTTTCCAAAGACAAGTAGCCGTGCCATCATATTTGTTTTCATTTCAGTGTTCTCATTCTCTTGAGAAATCAGTTGCCACAACATTAAGCAAATAAACATTTTTACCTTACCTTTTTTGCATCCATAGTAAGGCAGCATGGCTTATGGGAAAGATGTGAGCTTTGTAGCTAGCCAGGCGGTGGAAATCCGGATTCTGACACTTAGGAGACATGGGCCTTAGACAAGTCACTTCACCTCTGACACTCGGCTTCCTCATCTGTAAGCTCACCCTGTGGGGCGATAAAAGGATGATGTTTCTAGGGCCTCAGATATAGCCGTGGGCACAAACTAGATATTTAATAAAGGCTGGCTACTGGAAGTCAGGGTTGACTTGGGAAAGATAAGACTTATGGTAACCACTTGCATTTTTCCACATTTCTAGATTGGTCTTTGCTGTCAAGAGGTTAATTCATAGCTTTGGGTTTGGTGGGAAACATAAAATTTTCAATTCATTCTGTGTATATTTTGTCATAACAGGGTTCGTAGAAAAGGTGTGTGTTTATCCTGGGATCTTTCACCTCTGGTTTCCCCGTATTGGATACTTTTGTGGATATTTTCAGTCAAGTGGTTCTATACAACAATCAAAAAGCTCTGTTAACACTGTAGAAATTAATTTTTTAGTAATGATAATAGCCAACATTTATTGACTGCTTACTATGTGGCAGGCTCTGTATAAACTAGTTTATCACTATTATCTCATTTAATCCTTATATTAACCCAGTGAGAGATGTACTGTGTCCATTTCAGAAATGGAATGCCAAGGCCCAGGTGGGTTAAATACCTATTACTGTATCTATTAAATACCAGAGTCAGGACTTGAGCCCAGTGTGACTTTGAACCACACTATATACTGTTTTTAAGAGCCTTGTCCTTTGACTTTGGAAACTGATTAACCATCTCTAAGTACCCAGCTGCTTTTTCTCTTAAATGCATTTTTTCTGCTTAGCTTCTCGTTTTTTTTTTTCATTATTATAGGAGAACTATCTGAAAATAAAATTCTTTATATCCTATGTAGAGTTCTGTTGGTATTTCTTAAATGTCATTTCAACTAATGGTATTTAGAGCAATGACTGTGCAAAATAAACACTTTATTATTTCTTGAGTCTTGAACATGAAAAACCTGGACCATTTTTTCCATTGCCTTTTAAAAATGTACCCTTAGATGGAAAATTCATATTCCATTTGTGTCTTATTTTAGAAAGTCAACAAACATCTATTAAGGGTCCACTACATAAAAGCCACTGGACCCAGGGTTAGGGAAGAGTCACGGACAAAAACATTTGAAATGGTTTTAAAAGGAAGGAAAGACACCTAAACTATAATGTTCCCAAAGAAAAGAAAAGTATGAGTAATTGAGCAAGCCTTCAACTAGAGAATGTTGGTTGAACTGAAAAAACAAAGCTATCAAAGGTGTTTTCATTTCCCTGAGATTTGGAGTGAAAGGTTGAATTCACAGGGCTGTTTATATAACTAATCATGCCATTTGGTACAAGATAGGCTAAGCATTCAGCGTGCTCCTGGGGCTCCATTAAAATGACAATAAAGGAATACAAAGAAAAACAGCAAAGAAACTAGGGGGCTCATCAATGGACCAGTGATCCCACCTCTTGAAGGTAACCAGATGGAAGTATGCTGGTTAGTGGGACAGAGCGGAAGAAGCCACAAAAGAGGAGGCTGCAGCAGAGATGGCACCCATTTTGCCAGAGCTTATCCTAAAGGGACTCTGGGAGCAGAGCTGGGAGGTGCAAAAGGACTGGAATGGGAAGCCAAAAGGTAGGGGTTAATTGAAAGCTGGTTTAAGGTAGAGCATGGATGGATGATGGGGAGAAGCTTGACTCTGGCTGTACTCTACCTGCAGACAGCTACAAGCATTTTTATCCTGGGCAAAAATCAAAATCAGGCTACTTTCTTCAAGAACAACCTGGGAGAGCCAACCCTGATGGCCTAGTGGTTAAAGTTTGGTGCTCACTGCTTCGGCGGCCTGGGTTCACTTCCCAGTTGCAGAACCACACCACCTGTCTGTCAGTTGCCATGCTGTGGCGGCAGCTCACATAGAAGGACTAGAATGACTTACAGCTAGGATATACAACCATATACTGGGCCTTTGGGGAGAAAAAAAAAAGAGGAAGATTGGCAATAGATGTTAACTCAGGGTGAATCTTTAAACAAAAAAAGAAAGAAAAAAACAACCTGGGAAAAACTAGGGCTGTTCATATGAGTGTTGATAGCCCAAAGTAAAGATCTTCATGGGCAGAGGCCAGATTACACAGCTTACTATCTGTTCATCCTAAAGCCAGTTGAAAAGTCCTGACCAGGTACACAGACCTCCAAGTCAGCCTTCCCACTCAGGGGAGAGCCCCACGGGGAAATGAACACCAACTACCACAAATGATTAATCCAGTTCCTCATTCTTCAACAAGAATATTACAACTAAGGTGTATCAGACCTCGGGCAAAAACCAGCAGTGTGAAAGAAAACCTGACTGGCGTTAAACTTATCAGCTGCACTGTCATGGCCAGAAGACCACCCCTTTCTAAATTCTGAGAGGAAATGATGTTGAATCCAGAATTCTGCACTTAGCCAAACCTTCAATCAAGTGTATCAGAGGTATATGGATCAAGAAATGTATCTCCCATGCATACCTTTCTGAAGTAGGTTACCTGACTGACTTGATGTTAGGTATAATGTGGATATAAGAAATAGCAAAGAACATTCTAGAACTTCAATCAAAAACAATCTGAGGATGATGGCTATGCAGCACATTTGGAAAGCAATTGATCCTAACTTGAAAAATCTTAATAGAATGGATACCATGCAATAGAATAAGAAACTGGAAGATCTTAGTGATGTGGTGAGGAAAGCATATGTTTCTTGTCCCATTACCCAAGAGGAACGGTAGTTAGAAGCTCCAGGAAATACATAAAACTGTATAAGAAAGATATAGTCCAAATATTTGGCGACCTAAAAAGGGTAGCATGATTTTGAGCAGTTGGAGAAGGATAAAGAGAATCCATTTTACCTTCAGGCTGAGAACATTTTCCTTCAAGTGACGCACGCATCATGTCATTGGACTCATAGGGAAGGAAATGTTGTCCTGGTCCACTGTTGTGGCCGCTCTGCAGTGATCAATATTTATTGAGTTCTGATGTTACCAACACTATCGATTTTCAGCTTTTTAAAAAAGAACCTACAGGCAAAGTACACAAGAGTTAATTAGGGTTGCAGAACAGAATGTAAATATTATCAACCAAAAGACTAAAGCAGAAGTAGTAATGAGTGGCTGCCTCTGGGTACGGACAGGGGAGTGAGATGGGACAAGGTGGAGGGACTTTTACTTTTCTTCTTTTTAAAAAAGTTTTAAGGAGCCAGCCTGGTGGCGTAGTGGTTAAGTTCGCGCGCTCTGCTTTGGCAGCCCAGGGTTTGCAGGTTTGGATCTCAGGTGTGCACTGATGTACCGCTTGTCAAGCCATGCTGTGGCGGCATCCCATATAAAAGTAGAGGAAGATGGGCACGGATGTTAGCCCAGGGCCAGTCTTCCTCAGCAAAAAGAGGAGGATTGGCATCGGATGTTAGCTCAGGGCTAATCTTCCTCACTAAAAAAAAAAAAAAAATTAAGTCATTTGTATATATTACTTAACTTGAAAAATAACTGATCATCAAAGGGTTCAGGATTTAGAATCGAAAGCTCTTGGTTCAGGTTTCCACTTTCAGGTCTCTTCTGTTATGATGGGCAAGTCACATTGCCTCTGCAAAGCCTGTGTCCTCACCCACAATAACGCCACCCACGCTGTGAGCCACGCGGTATTGTCAGAAGATTTCATTGGATGATGTATGTGCAAGCTCTTTGTAAACTGCTAAGAACCAAACAAACGTTCACTTTATTTTCCTGTGAGTTAGGTACTTTATTAGAGGAAGTAGTTAGGTTGAAATTATAACATGGGTGAGTATGTCTGTGTTCTACTTGAGAAAGTTCATGCAGTTCCAGTCTCTTAAGTGATTTTGGGTCACAAGGAGAGGAAGGACTAAATTTTCCAGCATCTACTCCATAGCCCACTCTGTTCTTAGTGCCTGACATGGGATTCGGTGTTTCTTATATTTTCCTCAGAAGATTCCTTTTTTTTTTTTTTTAAGGATGCTCATTGTATCATTTTAATAATAGTTTCCAATCAGAATCAACCTAGATAATTGCTAATGGGAGAAATTTTACACATCCGTTAAAAAACAAAAATAAAACCTCTTCATGGAGGAGTTACATTACAGAGCGGACTCAAGGAGAAGCCCTCTCCTAAATTAAAGGCTGATGGGTGTGGTTATGGGTGGGAATTGGAATTTGGGTAGCCATGGAGAAATACGCAGAGGCTGATGAGAGACAAGCTGATTTGGTGCCCTGAGCTGTTGCTCATGCTTTCTCTTTGCCTGAGTACTTCCCACTTCCCCCCACCCTCATATCCGATCTTTAAGGGATTATGCACGACTTTTAACCTTATGTTTCTTAAGTACCACTTCTCGATAGACACGTCTTACCCACTCAGCTAAGGGCTCTTTGGTCTCATTCATTTTTTTTTTTAATTTTTTGTTTATTGCAGTAACATTGGTTTATAACATTGTATAAATTTCAGGTGTACATCATTATACTTCTATTTCTGCATAGATTACATCATGTTCACCACCAAATACTAATTACAACCCATCACCACACACATGTACTGAATTATCCCTTTCACCCTCCTCCCTCCCCCCTTCCCCTCTGGTAACCACCAATCCAATCTCTGTCTCTATGTCCTTGTTTATTGTTGTTATTATCTACTACTTAACGAAGGAAATCATACGGTATTTGAGAAGATTCCTGATGCAAGGAGAAAGGACTGTAGGTCTCGGGGGGTTCGTCTGCTAGATGCTAGTAGAAAAAAGTTATGTGAACCTTACGTTCTACTCTATAATATGCCTTGTTAGTCAAAATTTAACAGAATTTAATATTGCCATTTAGTCAAATTCACCAAGAAGATGTGCCCTTTTCCTTTATGGCTTCACATTCCCCCTGCTGACCCATGAGGTCACTGGTGGGGGTGGGTATCCCCCAATTTTAAAAACACTGAGCAATATTCGGACAACCTTATGCAATGCTCAGAACATCATGACATAAATGGTAATATTCCAATTTAACTCAACTGAGTTTCAAAGAAATTGAGTACTTTGCCCAAGGCCACATAGCTGGTAAGTGAAGGGACTAGATTTCACCCCGAGTTTGCTGGACTCCAGACCATATGCTTTTGCTCAGCCTTGCCGTCAGAGGTGGAACCCTAAATTAGCCTTTTGTAGAGTTCTTTTTCACGTACTCGGAAAATAGAGTACAAACAACATTATTGACTTTCTTCTAGTTTTGATCCTTATTCATTGATGGTTTCTCTCTGTTTTCAGCCAAAGCTCCAGACAAACCTATTCAGGTAGTTTATGTGCCCTCCCATCTGTTTCACATGCTATTTGAGTTGTTCAAGGTAAGTGGAATTTAAAAACATGGAAACAAGTCTTCATTTTAAATTACTCTGATTCAGAGCATAATGGATTCGTTAGATTAGCATAAGAAAAAGGTTTTGCATAACCATTTTTAAAATTCTATTTCTGATATCCCGTGGGTTTTATAATTTGTACACTGAGATGAAAAATTGCTGTGTACAGTGTAGTTTTTGTGAATATTAGTACATATTGATTTTTGAAGCTTAATTGTACTTTAGTGATTTGGTGTAAAATCCATACTGTTTTTTTTTCAGTTATGAGATTAGAGATGCTTTTAGTTTCCGAACCTGGCAAAGGCTTTGTTGGTGGTAGCCAGATCAAAATAAAAGCATGTTTATGCATATTTATGCGTCTGAACATTAGCCATGTCACTGCTTGAGTAGTTGTTCCAGTTCTGAGAGCTACTGTAACCCTTTTACGTGTTTGAGTCAATTCAGAAGATCTGACAGAGGCAGAGGGGAAGGGCTGGACCAAAAGGGACCAAAAAAAAAAAAAAAGGACTCTCTAGACTGTTTACAGCGTAAGCTGTTGCTTTTGTTACCCAGTAGCTAATGGCATGTACAGTAGCAGTATTAGAGGCACAAGGCCTTTGAGCTAAAATTTCATGTCTTCCAATGTGTAAAACCCAAAACTGAACACCTGAAAAATCAGTTATGTTGATTTGCTTCCAAAAATTATAATGTTACTGATGTAAAACTTGGAGGTCGAGATGGGCATTCAATTGTGAACTTTCTCATCAGCAGCTGTGGCTTTTTCAGAATTTCTTTTCAACTGACATTTCTTCTCCTTTTTTTATCAGCCAAATGATTAATTTTTGTGGGAAGCATGAATCCTCTCAGGTTTTCCACCTCCTTTAGAGGAAAGGTGCTCTGTAAATGCAGACTGATAAATAGGATTTAAAGTGTGTCAGTGCCTCTGCAGCCTCATTACCCGTGATAAAAACATTCCTCTTGGTTAAGAGTTGAATAATTTAAATACCCTAAAGAAAAATAAGCATTTAGTATGGTGGATGGGATTAAAACTAGATGAAAAGCAAAATAAAGCATCAGGAAATTTTTCCTTGATCCAAACACATGTTTAGCTAAGTTCTTTAGAGGAAAAAACAATGCCGTATAAATCCAACTGATATTTGCCCCACAAGAGAATTGTCGTGTATAAGTAATCTTGTGCTAGTTTCTTTTTTTTTAGATTGTCGTTTGTGAGTCAGCAGTGTACTAAAAAAAGGTCTTATTATTTCAGAATTCGATGAGAGCAACAGTCGAACTATATGAAGATAGAAAAGAAGGCTACCCATCTGTTAAAACCCTTGTTACTCTGGGTAAAGAAGACTTGTCCATTAAGGTAACTGCTTTATTTGCATGTAGCCTTTAATTATCAGGTAATTTAATAGTATCTAGACATTGAGGAATCAGAGGGAAGGGAAGAAAACGAACATTTATTGAGCGTCTTATTTCTAAGGACTGCATTAGATCCTTGGCTTAAGTTACCTCATTAAGACTTCATTAGAAGCCCGTTTTTCAGGGAGCTGAACAGGAGCTCAAAGCCAAGCCTGTTGGATCCTACCACACTTCCCTGCCTCCTTTGTTGTACACTGTTCACAAGGGAACCATGTCTCACTGGGGGTTCAAAGCCCTTATATGTTGTAGAGTAGTCTGGTATGTACTGTATTTAAGGAACTTGTCTCCTACTACATATAGAGTGACTTCTTCCTTTTTTTTTTTTTTAACATTTGTACATTACAGATAAGTGACCTAGGTGGTGGGGTCCCACTTCGAAAAATAGATCGTCTTTTTAACTACATGTATTCAACTGCTCCTAGACCCAGCCTGGAGCCTACAAGAGCTGCCCCTCTGGTAAACATCTTAACCTGCTGCTTAAGGAAAGACTGTTAACCCTAGAAGGGACTCCGGCAGAGCTGGCTCTCTCCGCGGGTTGTTGCACTAGCCTCATTGAATTCCAATGTTTCCTGCATGGTTTGGAGGAGGGGGAATTTTATGCTGCTGCTATTTTCTTTGTGAATCCTTTGGACTTAGATTTCTTCTCTAATTTGTGTCCAAGAAACACTCAGAGCTGAGTGCCTCACTCCCAAATACAGAGAAAAAGCATTTCCCTGTGGTTAGACTGCTCCCGGAGCATCATTTACCGCCTGGCCCTCCCCTTGGAGGGGGTGGGAGTCTCATAGTGGGTGAACGAAGGAACAGCACAGCGTGAATGGCTGCAGCGTGGTCCTAGGCACTTGGGTGCTGCCTACCACAGAGGCCCAAATCCCCAGGGCCTTTGAACTTCCCCTGCCAAATTTGTTTATGTAATTAAAATGTAAATTATGAACACATTAAACTTTTTATATTAAATAACATAAGCAGGAAACGTATAGGTGGCACGTGCATTTTCAGGGTCCTTTCTGTCTCACTCTGGAAATAACCTTCAGCCCTATTAAGGCAGTCAGAAAAGCTTCTGGTTACCATGGCAGCATTTAGATCCTGGTAGGGCCACACTTTCTTCCTCTGCTGAGCGTTTCTAATTGACAAACAACAATTGAACCCTTTGTCATTAAACATGGCAACATATCTATCAGTCTGCAGAATGGCTCAGGGTATAAATTTTCATTTTCAAGTCCTACCTGACTGATAAGCATGTAAGATTATATTTTATTTGTATGAATAAAATCCAGCACTTTGCATCATTTATTCAAGACAGAGTTTGTTAACTGTGTTGAAAACGGAGAGGAAATCATTTATATAGGATTCAAGAAAATTCATGAAAGATCAATTTTGAAAGGCATTGCCTAGACCAGGCTCTGGTATCTACTTAAATAAATATCAAAAGGAAAAAAACGCTCCAAGCAAATCTAGAGCCTTCCTCAGTTGTTTAAAAGGAATACAAATCATCTATTCCAGGTCTCAAAATAGCATCTTGAGAATAGCTGTTACATCATAGTTTTTTTTTTTTTTTATGAAAGCGAGCAGTTGAAGTAAGAGACCTTAAAATTCATGTATCCAACCTCCCATTTTATAGATGGGAAAATAGGTTAGTACCTTGTCCAAGGTCACTGAGCTCATTACAACACAGCTGGCACTGGCTATGTCTGCATTCCTTGCAGTGTACCGTGTGGCCTCTCCTTTTGAAGAAATGCTTCCACTAGCATCTCTCCCAGTTAGTAAACTGACCCCAGCTTTAAAGTGAGCACATGGCTATGTACTACTAGAAAACAATTTTCTCACCATGTTACAGCTCTGTGCCTGACACATGCATTTCTTTTTCGGAAATGTCCTCCTAGCAGACTCTATTGATCCTTTGGTACCCTGGGAAAACTGTCCTGAACCTCACCAAATCTGAGTTAGAGGCCCCTCCTCTGCCTTTCGCAGGACTCTTGGCTTACCTGTCTCCTCACACGCATGGCTGCATTGGCGTCAGGCCTTCTCGGTTGTTCCCTGCTGTACCTGAGGGCAGGCTCTGGGCCTTGCTGGAATGTAGGAGGCAGATTTCCTTGGCGTCTTCCTGGAGTATGCTAGTTTCTTTGCTGTGGTGACCTTAGTCACCATTATGGCTATCTTGTCTTCACTACTGGCCATATTCTGCCAGTCCTAAAGCCCTTAAATGACAGTGTCCTCTGTCACACCCAGCCCTTTAAGTTAGGCCCTACCCTGAAGAAGGACTCTAGGAAGGATGTTAGAAAATGGTAGAAATCCATGTAACTTAGTAAAATTGCTCCTCTGTAGTAGCCATAATAGCAGCTTCCATTTATTTGGTTTTACTATGTCTTGGGCACTATGTCAAGACTTTACATGTACTGTTATATCATTTAATCTTTACAGTAGCTCTGAGGTTAGCTTCTTTTTTTTCCTTTTTTTCCTGAGGAAGATTTTCCCTGAGCTAACATCTGTTGCCAATCGCCCTCTTTTTGCTTGAGGAAGATTCGCCCTAAGCTAACATCTGTGCCAGTCTTCCTCTATTTTGTACGTGAGTTGCTGCCACAGCATGGCCGCCGATGAGCGGTGTAGGTCCACGCCCGGGAACCAAACCCGGGCCGCTGAAGCAGAGTGTGCCAAAGTTAACCACTAGGCCACAGGGCTGGCCCCTGAGGTCATCATTTTATTACATTTTCAGATGAGAAAACAGTCTCAGAGAGGTTGAGTAAACTGCTCAGAGTTTCACAAAAAGTGGATTTCCACTTGTCTATCTGAGCCTAAAGCCCATGCAGCCTCTAGTCTATGAGAGCATTTCCCCACTGCCTCCTTCATTAACCTTGACAGCGGATTTAATCAGAGGGGCCTAAGCTTGCAGTACAGCATCTTCCTCTTTACCCCCCGAGTTATTGAAGTTAGTCTCTAGTCTTACTGTTCTTGTCAATATCTGAGACCTTTTTTTTTTTTTTCAACAAGCTGTTACTGACAGGGTTCTATGACATAGAGATATAGGAGGGTACTGGAATTGTTTTCTTGTCTCCAAAAATGTATAGACTACCATATATCAAAATATTGTAGCCTTCTCAGAACCTTAGGAAGTAGCCTTTCAGGAATTTTTTTTTTTCCCCAATGTGTTAGCCATGGTCCTGGTAGATTTGAACTCCTGTGCTAGCAATTCAATTTTCACTTCAAAGAGCAAGGAAATCTGATAATGGAACTTTGGAATGATGTGGTTTAATTTTGTTACCAGTTCAAATTCCACTTGATTTAGCATTTGCTTTAAAACTGCTAAAAGTTTGCTTTAAAATGCTAAAAAAGCATTAGTCAAAAATTGTAATATTTCTATTTTCCAAACATATGAAAAGTGTTTTTGCAAGGTGAAAACAGATTGTTTGCCATAGGTGAGCATACATCATTGTAAAGGTTGGATCGATAATTTATTTGCTTTAAATCTGAATCAAGAATTTATTTTAATCTTCCAGTGGTCCTTGTACCAAATGTGTCAGCATTGGTTCCTGTCTCAATGTATTAATTCTCTTTTCTCAATAGGCTGGATTTGGTTATGGTTTGCCAATTTCTCGTCTGTATGCTAGATATTTTCAAGGAGATCTAAAACTCTATTCCATGGAAGGAGTGGGCACTGATGCTGTTATTTATTTGAAGGTACTACATTTTATTTCTGTTATATGAAGTCATCTTTACTTTTTAAAGCTCTAAGTTCTAATAACTAATGGAGTATAGCACTGTATCATCTCATGTTCAGCTCATATTTGCTTCAGTTTTACATGAAAACCAAGTTATAGCCTACTCTTGATTTTATGCTCAGATATAGCAAAATATGAAACATGGAGATGTAAAAATTAAAATATTGATTTTAAAACCATAATTCTAAATTGTGATTTTTTAAAAATTGCATATCCATTGAAAGGACTAATCTGAAAGGAGACAGATTTTCGTAAACTGAAGTCTTTTAGTCTTTTTCTTTAAAAACTTGTTGCTTTCCTATAGTAATAGGAATTCAATAATCATAATATGCTTATATAAGAGGCTGATCTAATAACAAAGTTCTCTGTAACAGATTTTCTCATTCATTGGTGGTGTCAGACTTTTATTTATTTCTAAACTCTAGAATATTTGGAATATTTTTTGAATAGGTAATATAGGCACACAGTACAAAATTTAAAAGCTGCAAAAGGGAAAACTAAGTCTCTCCCACCAATGGTCCTAAGCCACCTGGTTCTCTTTCCCAGACATAATCATGGGTACCAGTTTTTTGTGGATCCTCCTAGAGTTGATTCTGCATTAATAAACATATAGGGGGAAATCTAATTTTTTTTCACAGAAATGATTATTTCAGCACTTTACTTTTTTTTTTTTTTTTTTTACTTAGCGATATATCTTGGAGATCTTTCCATATCACTTCATACAGAACTGGCTCCTTCTTTTTAACAGCTACATAATGTTTTATTTATTTTTCCCCCAAAGCCCCAGTAGATAGTTGTATGTCATAGTTGCACATCCTTCTAGTTTCTGTATGTGGGATGCGGCCTCAGCATGGCCGGAGAAGCGGTGCGTCGGTTCGCGCCCGGGATCCGAACCCGGGCCGCCAGCATCGGAGCGCACGCACTTAACCACTAAGCCACGGGGCCAGCCCCTACATAATGTTTTACATGTTATAACATATACATGTAATATGTTATACCGTAACTTAACCAGTTATTTGGAGTGTTTATCTTAGATGCCAAGGCATCTAAATGATGTGATACTTGAGATCACTTTATGGGCTTATGTTTATAAATCTACTGTGTATGAAACTTTCTTTATGGGCCCTCTGGGAGAGCAATTGCCCAGTGAACAATAGTGCTTGGTCTAAGACTGTATAGTCAAAACAGTCGAGTATCTCAAAGCAGTATTAACTGAATTAAAATACATTTTGTTCTGGTCATCTGTACTTCAGTACTTGTTTTGAATTAGTGAATGTTTTTATTCCTTTAAAAAAGCTTTCATTTCATCCAGTCTTAAGTAAACTACTAAAAGGTAATTTTAATGTAATTCCAAAAATATGTATTAAGGTTTATAATGTTTTGAATAGTATAATTTGGGTTAGTATTTCACGTGAGAATAATGACACTGTGGACCTTGGGTGTATATTTTTGTTTTTCCATTAGGCTCTTTCAAGTGAATCATTTGAGAGACTTCCGGTTTTTAATAAGTCTGCATGGCGCCATTACAAGACCACACCTGAAGCCGACGATTGGAGCAATCCCAGCAGTGAACCCCGAGATGCTTCAAAATATAAGGCGAAACAGTAATTTACTACTTTGCTTTCTATTATAAAATATCTAATTTTTCCCCAGACATACCAGCCAGACGAGTGATACTTTCAGCCAAATCTTTGTGGTGTTTTCACTGGAATAGCAAAGTTATCCCCAAAGAAAGAAAGATCGGAGCAGCTTTTTCACCCCACATAGAAAGGAGAGCAAACATTTGGGAGCCAGAGTAGCCATTCCCATAGAGGCCCTGATCTTCTAGGAGTCCTTGCACTGTGGAGTATTAACAGCAGTGACAGGGCTTATCCCGCCGTGAATTTTATTTGAAAAGTAATTAAGTTTGCAGTTTGTCATCATCCATAGAGATTGACAGAAGAATGTTTAGAGAAAGTCTGTGGGTGGGTTATAACAGAAAAAATAAAGTTTAAAGTTATCAGTGAAGATAAACAAAATGTGGTTTATCCATACAACAGAATATTATTCAGCCTTTAAAAGGAATAAAGTTCTCACACATGTTACAATATGGATGAACCTTGAAGTCATTATGCTAAGTGAAATAAACCAGACCCAAAAGGACAAATACTGTATGATTCCACTTATATGTGGTACCTAGAAAAGTCAAACTCATAGAGACAGAAAGTAGAATGGTGGTTGCCAGAGGCTGCGGGGCAAGAGGAATGGGGAGTTTGTGTTTACTGGGGACAGAGTTTCAGTTGGGGAAGCTGAAAAAGTTCTGGAGATGGATAATGGTGATGGTTGCACAACACTGTGAATGTGCTTAACACCACAGAACTGTACATTTAAAAATAACCATTTTTTATCATCTTAACCAGATGGTAAATTTTATGTGTAGTTTACCACAGTAAAAAACAAAAAAGAGAAAAATTATCAATCACAGAATAATGAGTTTCACTACTTTATGGTAATAAGGGCAATAATCTAATCTTTGGCTTCCAATTTTTTTTTTCTTCTGACCAGCCTTAAGCTCCAACTCTACTAGCAGGAGTAAGGGTTCTATTTATTTGCTTAATTTAAAATAACCTTTTATTAATAGAAAAGCAGTATGTGCACATTGTAAAAAATTTAAAAATGTAAACAAGCAAAACAGAGACAAGAGAAACCACTGTATTTCCACAGCCCAGAGATGAGCACTCTTCCACTTTTGTGGATGTTCTTCCAGATATTTTGCTATTTGTATATATGTATTTTTCCCAAAATGAGATCATACTATTCATACTGTTTTACAGTCTGGTTGTAAAACATGAAAATTCCCCTGATTTGTCCAAATCTGGATCGATTCCAAGACCACATAACACATCTCAGTAGGTCTCAAGTTGTTTTTAATCTAGGACAATTTTTTGTTGTTGAGAGACCATGCCAGTTATCCTGCAAAAATGTCCCACCTTGATTTGTTTGGTTTCTTCTTTGAAATGTCATTTAGCCTGTCCCCCATTCCCTGTATTTCCTATAAACTGGAAGTTCATCTAAAGGCTCAATGGAGCATTTTTTGCTAGAATACTTCATAAGTGCTATTGCAGAATAGCAATAGCTGTGAGACCCATGATATCTAGTTGATCCACCATTAGTGATGTTAAGAATGACCATAGTTCAGATGACGGCTGTCTGATTCCTCCATGGTATGATTATTTTTCCCTCCTCAACTGGAAAGTAATCTGTGTAGTGTTATTTTGGCACTATGCAGCCATCACCTAATGGTTTTTAACACCAATTGATAATTTTGGCCTGAATCAATAATTTTATTAACGTTTATAAAATGATGTGATGTTTTAAAATATTATTCTTTTGACAATTATTAGCTGACATTCTCCTATAACGTTCTTCCTTATCAACTAAGGCTATTTAGGTACCTTTCGAAGTACAGTTCCTCCTGGCAAGGCAGGATAAGCATTTGAATTTTTCCCTTTAATTACCAATTTTCAAGGTAAGAAGTTGAGTTAAAAGCTACCTTAAATGGTGACAAATGAGTTTCTGGCTTTCTCTTTTTTGAGTATTATGGATATTATAGATTTTTATTGCTTTGATATGTTTCAATCAGTACTTAACATATATATACACACATATATACATATGCATATACATGTACATATATATAAAGTACACAAATCTTAAGTTTATAGTTTGAGGAATTTTTACATCTGTATTTCCAGCAACGAAAAGGCCTCTTTCTAGGCAAACTCTTCTCCCTCCCCCCTCCCCACCATGTAACCATTATTCTGATTCCATCACCTATCACTATATCTGACTCTATCACTTCTTGAACTTAAAAGGAACATATAGTGTGTACTCTTTTGTGTCTGGCTTTCTGTGAGGTTCATCCATGTTATTGCCATGTAGCAGCCATCTTTTTGATGCTTAAATTGGCATGCCTTTCGCCAATGGGAGCTATTTTGAGCTGGCTCCTCTTTGTTCCATTGATAAAATCCCATTAATCTTTGAAAGCTTCCTTGCTTTCTGGCCCAAGATGATATCCTAGGTTCATCTTATACCTTCCCTGCCTCCATCCTAGAATCAGCCATTTCCCTCAAGGAGTCCTGTTTGCTTTTAATGGGTATTAGAGACTCTAATCTGGGAGTTGAAAGTGCACATTATACCTTTTCTAGGCCCCTCTTCTGGACAGAGCTATAAAATATATATATCTTTTTTTTAAATCATAAGTTCATATTGATATTTTTATTCGATTTTAACATTGCAATGTTTCTCCCTAATATATTTTAACTGTATGTGTTTCTTCTTACCCTGAAAACCTTGATTCTTAACATTATGCAACAGAAAGATATTTCTATGCAATATAGTTTATATAGCTTTGTAATTTTGTCCCGTTATAGGAGCATTGTTCTTTTCTGATGAATGATATAGAGGATATCTATACTGATGTTTATTTTTACTATGGAAGTGTTGTGATAGACCTCTGTGCAATATTGCTGGACTGGTCACTCATCTCGAACGATGAAATTTAGAGGAGTTTGGTTTGTGCACGTGAGTGCAAACGTATAGGTGGGTGTGCGTACATACACACACACACACATACACACACGCCATCCTCAGCTAAGATTAAGATGAAGCAACTTGAAACACCTGGATCAGTTTCCCTTGATTCCATTTTCAGTCTGTATGTAAGTCAAGTAGTATGTTGGGCATCAGTGTGACCAATTAATTCAAACTGTTGCTTTGGTAAGAGGAGTTATTGAGGTGGTACAGAAGCAGTCTTTGTAAATGATAAGGCCCATTTGGATTGTAAAAAGATGGCTTTAATTGAATATTGTTTTAAAGGCAATTTTAAAACTCCAAATAGTTAAGCAGGTTGTGTACTAATTAAGTATGTCTTAATTTCTAATATATTATTAAATAAATTTTAGGGCCGGCCTGGTGGCGCAGCAGTTAGGTGTGTGCACTCCACTTCAGCGGCCCAGGGTTCGCAGGTTCGGATCCCAGGCACGCACCGACACACTGCTTGTCAAGCCATGCTGTGGTGGCGTCCCACATAAAGTAGAGGAAGACGGGCATGATGTTAGCCCGGGGCCAGTCTTCCTCAGCAAAAAAAAAAAAAAAAAAAAGAGGAGGATTGGCATCGGATGTTAGCTCAGAGCTGATCTTCCTCACACACACACAAAAATAAATAAATAAATAAACAAATTTTAGCAGAAAGCAATTTTTAAAATTCTAAAATGGTTAGCCTGATGATAAAATTATTAAATTATACAAATAGAATAATTGGTGGTGATCTTGGGAGAGTATTTAGTAGGTGTGGTAAATTCATTAGGTGAATGAGAAAGTGTAAGGAAATTTATTCTCTAATCAGATTTTTAATAAGCTTTATTGAGAAATAATTCACATACCATAAAATTCACCCTTTTAAAGTATACAATTCAGTGGTTTTTAGAATATTCACAGAGTTGTGTGACCCTCACCACTATTTAAGTTTAGAACATTTTCACCACCCCAAAAAGAAACCCTGTACCCATTAGCAGTCATTCCTCATTTCTAATCAGATTTTTAACTGAGAGTAAAGAACTATTTTAAAGTACATATAAGTAATTAAATGGTAATTCTTTTTCTGAGGTAACCATAGAAAATAATTCAGAAATAAGGTAAGGGTTTTTGAATTATCACTGTAACTAAATGCTGTGAGTAAGTCTTAGTTAAAATAGAGAAGATCGTACTCATAAACTCACTCTGGATATTCCCATTATTTTCTTTGTAGGGACAAGATCAAGACTAATAGAACTTTCTAGAGAACTGAATGCTTCCGTCCTCTGAAGAAAGATTGTCTTCCACAAGTCAACCAGAGAGAACTCTTTTCCTCCACCAGCTCTGAGCGTGGCACCATAGTCATTCCAGTGCTTGAATGTGCATTTTCTCCACACGAGCTGGACCTTTTCCACAGAAACCTTCCTGTAACTACTCCAGATCTTCCACTGAAGTAGTGACTTGAGTCATTTTTCATAGAACGTTGCTGTGATTTGGTTGGCACCTGTCAGAGAGCACAGAGCCTCGTTAGCGCTCTCGTGTCCTCATCCCTCTCTCCTCATCATCATGGAGTTGAGTGTCTACAACCTCCGCAGGATTCTAAGCTTCCTCCTCATTGCAGATACAGCAGATCTCTACTGTTGCTCTTTGTGACCAAATACCATGATTGTCCTAAACCACCGAGGCCTGGGGAATCTGGAAGTTGAAGACATCAGCTCAGCGTATCTTGATAATTCAGTCCCAGGGCCCATCTGGTCTCATATGCATCCCTCCTCACTCTCTGATTTCTTCCATCTTCCATCCGATCATATTCTCATTGTGAGGTTTGGGTGCTTTCGCGTTAGATCTTACTCTTTGATGCATTGATTTTATTTTAAAATTCATTTGTATACTTTCATTCTGTCGATTAAAGCGTTCCAAAAGTTGTCTTGGAATTTTTCACTTAACCACTCGGTTTCAAAGATCTTAAGTGAAAAACTACCTTCTGGTCATTATCAAGTTTGTAAGGAGTGGGAAGTGGAGTTTTTATGCTTATGTAAAAATGTTACTAATCTAGTACCGTACCTTTGTCATATTGCTTTGTAGTTTTCTAAAAGAATTAGAAATCCCTATGTGATGCACTTTACTAGTTGTAAAATAGACTATTAAAGGGAAAAGTTCTTCTTTTATTTTAGTTTATTTTGAAAAATGCCCTAGGTCTTCATAATTTTCGTTTTCATGTATTTTAGCCAGTTTTAGAACTGTTGATCTGATTTTCACGATCCTTTTCTTTTTGCTTAAAGTTGGAATTGGCAGAGGACTTGGGGTGAGGAAAGAGGAACCGTCTTATATTTACCTTTCGAAATGGAAGCTGAGAGTCTAGATTAAAACCCGCATTTGTACAGCTCCACAGGATGTGTTTCTCTTTGCTATAATTTTTCATATATATCATCTACTTTAACTTCTGCCCTCTTTCAACATCTGTATAAATGTTTCCACCCAATTTCCAAGTATGGAGTCCACTGATTTAAAAGTTGTGACTTGTAAAGTAGTCTTCCTCCTTTAGTCATACAATAGTGTCAATGCAGTTGTCCCCACTGCTGTCACAGTGGGGGATTGTCCCCTGGGAGGAGTGGTGCTCTGACCAGCTGCATGTAGGTTGATGGCAGCTCTGTTTCTCTTAGTTCCGCTGAATCTGATCCTCTTTCATTTCATTATGTTACCTGAGCTCATGGTAGTTCCTTTCATCTTTAGGAAGATCTCATCTCTTCCATACTTAGAAGGATCTCATCAGGGAACTCATATAATCAGTTGGGTAAAAGAAAGACCGATGTACTTCCAAGATATGGGTGACAAGATGGTCCGTATGGAGGCCTGGTTTTTGAGGACTGAGTCAGTGTCTTGGGGATGGGGCTGCTCCATATGATTAGTTCCTTGTGGTATAAAAGATGTAAAAATAATGTCCCTTTACATTTAAAGACCCTGGCTTCCTTATAAACATTAGATAGTAAATTGGTATCTTACTAGGCCTCCATTTCCAACCATAGCCCTTTACGCTTTCAAATATGATACACTGTAGAGGGAAGGAGGCAACAGATTTGGGAGTGTTCCCTCCTGCCTTGTTCTGGCAATGTTTTACTGTGTGGTTGAGGAATGCCCATTGATCATTATACCCTGACAATAAGCTCCATATAAAGATTAAAAGTAGAAAAACTGGTGTGGAAAAATCCTATCATATTCCTTCCACTGGTCTTTTTCAAAAGTAAAGATTTCTTTCAATGTTTTAATGACTTAATTGGTAGTCCTTGACTAATATACTTTCTGGCTAACTCATATCCATCTGACTCCAGTACAATCTTGCCTCTCCTGTCTTTGTTTTCTGCATTAAGAATTTAACTTTGCTCCCAAAGCAACCATCAGAAGAGTTTCAGGAACATCTTGCATTCTCACAGTTTAGTGGCCCCAATGATTTGTTTATCCTTTTTGTCAGCTGTACATGATTCTCTGAACTTAGTTGCATCTCTCTGGCTGTTTGCTGGATTTTGTCTTTAAGCAAATGGTCAAATTTCTACATAAAAGTTGTACTATAAATAGACATAGACCCCTTTTCAGCTAAATCCATTTAGTTCTCCCAATTCCTCAGTATTTCCCTTTCATTTACTCGATTTTAAGTATTTGGGGACTGTGTCTACTATTTGAAATAGTGTTTGGCACATAGTAGGTGCTTAATAAATATTAGTTGAATCAATGAATGAAAATTGACATTTACTTTGAGTGGTAGGCAACATCTTTCTAAGTGCTTAAACTATCTTGGTTTCCAAGTTAAAAATAATTCAGGTGAGGAGCTGTGGAAGTACTGAATTTCCTTCTCATAGCGCTAAGAGATGACTTTAAAATATAGAAAAATGGAAGGAAGTAGAGATGGATCCACAGGAGCCACCTGATCCTTTCTTTGTCTCTGAATATCTGATTTTGGCTCCTTAGTGTGGTGGGTTCTTTCCATCCGATCAAGTGACATGGTTTTATAGTCTTGCTTATAGATCCCAAAGAACTTTCACTTACAGCATCCCATTTGATCCTTACAATGCCACGAGGTGGGTATTATCTCTCTTTTTCATATGAGTTCCAAAGAAGTTCAGTGGTTGCGCAAGGTGGCATGGTAAGTGAATGGAAGAACCAAAGTGAGAAGTTTTTGTTCCTAGGCCCGTGCTCTCAACAATGCACCAGGTAATTAGCATTATCTCTTTTGAGGAATTTCTTGGGTATATTAACCCTCAAGGGTAAACCGAAATTTTTCTATAGTGCAGGAGAATTCCATTCAGGAGAGGTTTTCTTTTGTGTGTATTCATCTTGGCATAGTTAGTTAGAGTAGATAATCGAATGGATTTGGCAGCTTTTACCTAGAAAGACAAGCAACTTAAAGTGTATAGCTGTAGGTAATTACTAGAGTTATGTAGATTTAATTCTATGTTTGAATGAACTCAGTGCTCACTACCAGCCCTTTCATACAAAGACTCCACTTGTGAGAGTGATGCTTTTATCTGTGGTGGACTGGATTACAGCTTCGGTTGGATTTTCGTGCATATTTACAAATGTATTTCCATCGCCATTCCTTGTGAGCAGTAACGTAGCTGGCTATCAGATTCTTGGATCACAGCCTTTTTCCTTCAGTGCTTTGGAGACATCACTTTATTGTCGTCTAGTGTCTGGGGTGCTGAGAGGGCTGAGTCCAGACAGGTTTTTTCTTCCCTTCTTGTAGATGACCTGCTTTGCTTGCCCTGGGTACTTGTGATTTCCTGTTGATCCTTGATAAGTAACTTCATTCGAGTATATCTCACAGTTGACAGTTGTCTGTTGGCTTTTTCTGGTACACAGTGAGCATTAGACGTTGACATTCGGACCTTACTGCATTTCTTATTGGTTTATTTGTTCTCTTCTTCAACAGTTTGTCCCTATGTTGGCTCTCTGTAATCTGTCCTTCACATTGACCTTTCCTTCCATCACTGTTGTCTCCTTGTCTGTCTTCCTGCCGCGTGATTTTTTCCTCAGGCATTATCCTCCCATTTCACTGACTCGGTGTTCTAGGCCTGGATGCTTGCAACGTGGCTTTCACTTCTGTTACAGTTTTCTTTTGTATCTGTTGCTTTCCTTAGCTCTGCCAGCTTTTTTCTCTCATTGTGTTGTCCTCTTTGCCTCCTCATTTCATTTCTTGGCAGGCTGAACTGTGTTGTCTGCAATTTTCGTGGTTCCTGAAGTTGTTCTGTTGCGAGTGTATTTAGCTGCCTTTTGCTCTTCCACTCTTTTTCTTCTGTGTTGTTTTGCCTTTTTCTTGTTGCACAGGTATCATGATGGCGTTTTCAGCTTATTATTTGTCTTTGCATGGGACCAGTTCTCTCTGCCCAAGAAGAGTGTGGATAAATCCCCCTTGACTCCTCCTTTTTCAAGTGAGAAGTGTTTGAATGGTGACCTTAGCACTTGAACTGTGAGGCTAGATATTGATGGGTTGTAATGGTGGGGCCTGTGTTTGTTTTCCATTCTGCTCTCTGGATATAGGGGAATAAGGGCTGAAGCACAGCCTCCTTGGGACATGTTGTCTCTGAGTGTCTTCTGTGGACGCTGTTGAATGCTTTGCCCTGGGGTGGCTGGGTCCCACTGGGGGAGAGGGATTCCTCTTGAGTTTCCCCATTTCCACAAGATGGCGCCCTAGCAGGAGTGTGGTGGGTTCGTACTTCAGTTCTGCTGGATTATATGTCGTCGGCATTTGTGTGAGTGGCTCCTAAATTACTGTTTCTCTCCTCTGCACACAAATGATGCACCTGAAATCCCCAGCTCCCCTCCTAGGTTTCCTTCTGGAAACGTGCCCACGCAGTGTGCACTCAGTTTCTCCTCACTGCCACCAGTCCTTGTTTCTCCAAGTTAAGAAATGATTGCTAGAGTCCTTGGAACCTTCTCACGAACTGCCCAGCAACTATGGCCTGCTTGGCAAATGCGAGAATCCTCCTTTGATTAGTCCCCAGCCTTGTTGTATCTCTGAGACACTCCCCTGGAGTCCTTGGTATGGGGTGGTGGCTTTTATTAGTCATTATAGACAGCTTCTTTTTCAGTTTTTGGATGTGTGTATTGAAAGGGCAGGAGCACTTATATAAACATGCGTTTATTCTGCCATCTTTCTCAGTGGTGCAGGTGCTTAAACATTGACTTTGAAGGTAATGCCCTTCATAATCATAATCTATATGTTAGTAAACAGAAGGAACCAATATCACTAGCAGGAAAGAACCATTAATAACCTAATCAGTACGGGAGTTTTGTTTATTGTTCTTCGTGGAAAGATAAATTTTAACGCAGGTTCCTGCTCCATCGATCAGAGATATCAGTACCTTCTGGTTTGAAAATAGGGGACATGTGACATTTTAATGAACTTAAGTTATCAGCCATTGACAATTGTTTATTAGTTAATTAAATATAATAGTATATTTCAAACTAGCACATAATCAGAGTTATCAAGAGAAGTATAAACTATTTTTTGTTAACAGGTTGCTAGTCGAGCTGTCCCACTGAGGGTGGTAACCCTGATGAGAGCTTTACTGTGCCACAGGTTTTCTTACCTGTCTTTTCAATTCAACCCATTTTAAAATTTGGTTCATTAAGAAATAGAAAGGAGTTAAGTCCTCAACAGGATTACTCTTGTTGTTCATGAACATACATTGAGATGGTTTGTAGGTCTGGGGCCTACTATAGAAACACACGAGTTAATGTTTCAAAAGTGCATTTACAGGTGGCTCACGGGTTAGGGGTTTTATTTGCCCTCTTTGTAGGATTGAAGCCTCCTTTCCTGGGGGGCCAGCATATTCCACTAGGCAAACTTTTCTCACCTTCGGAGCCCAGCATAATGATCAAGGAGCATGAGGGACAGCCTTGCTTGATGTACCAAACTCCACCCCACGCAGTGCCTTCCCCTAAGGTCTTTGCCCTGGTTCTGTCCTGGTGTGAGATGGGGAATTGAATGCGTGCCCACGTGGAAGGGATAAATGAAGTGAAAGTGGTAGACAGGAGGAGTCGTGTAAAGGAAAGCCATGTTCATTCGTCCGTTTAAACAACAGCGAGTGTCTATGGTGCACTAGAAACTCTGCTGAGTGCTGGGCACGTGGCAGTGATCAAAGCAGATGGAAGTCCCTGCCTCACAGAGCTCACGTTCTAGAAGGGAGACACGAGACACAGAACAAGGAAAGTTTCTAGAAGAGTTGGAAGATAAGTGGTATGGAGAAAAATAAAGGCAGGAAGGGGGATACAGGGGGCGGTTTGGGGGTGTTTTCATCATGGACAGATAGGTGTGTTCCTTAAATGAGGAAGTGTTGTGATTCCTGAGTTCTTTTCACCTTCGTATCTACTTGTCTGAGCTTGGTGAGTCCGTCTTCCATGCCTGGCTCTGTGCAGGGCTCCGTGGGGAACCCTGCCCAGGGCCCCACGCCGCGGCTTTGGGTAGACAGAGCGGACTGAGCCTGTTGCATTTCATTGTCTTGCCGACCAACAGGGAACCACGGTCCGGTGAGAGGACCCAGCTTTTGCAGTCAAATTTCATTGAATGGTGTGTGCTGCTGTTTCCTCGTAACAGAAATGCGGTTACAGCAGGTTCCAGATGTGCCTTTTTAGGACTTCAGAAATCATTATTTAAATAAAAGCTTCCCACTTATAGCATCTGAATGATGATGCTGGAGTCAAAATAGCTGCTTGTCGGGAGGAGAGACCCTCTTTAACATTTCCAGGCTGGTTTTAGAGGTGGAGGAAAGGATTATCCGAGACGGCTTCCGTCTCAAGTCTGCGGGTTCGCGTTAGCTGTGTTCATCCCCCAAAATGAAGAAAAGAAAATGACAACGATATCGTGGTCACAGAATTCTTGAGAAACCTTTGTTTCTGCCTTTCTCTCTGTCTCTAAAACAGGGACATGAATTGCCCGTAGTCCCAGTGATAGGGTCAGTGCGGCTGGGACACGGCTGCCACTTGTGTTGTAACACAGGTGACTCTACAGCAGTCCCACACCCTCGGAGGGAACAGCGGAGCTGCAGTGGACACTTCCAGTTCTTGATACCCGCTTGTCGGGTCGCCTGTGTTGGGTAGAGCTGAGTGACGGGAGAAGGAGATGGGGTGCATTTAATCATTCCCATAGGGAGGGCCAATTTGTCGCCCTTTAAATTGACTTATTTGCATATAAATAAAAGCACCTTCGGACCTCACTCCTGAAAGTCTCCAAACAAATGTCTGGTGCAGTTACGGGCCTGCATTAAAATCAAGCCCCCCCCATCTTGCGTTAATATCCTCGTGGTGTTTAGTAAATCCATAACAGTATTTGACTTCTTGTCTCTGCATCCTTTTCCCTCCGGCGTCATCGACTGTGCAGGGGCAGCACGCCTCTCAGTTTGTAGTGGTGACTTCAGTCTTGGATGGAGTCTTCATGTCTCTTGAAAAGGATAAACAGCAGAGCTTGATGTCTGAGTCCTATGGTCCAGTTTGGACTACTGGAAATATTTTTTGTGGGATTTTTTTTTTAAGTGTTAGCTGAGTGGTAGATTTGTGGTAATACTGGATCTAGGAAGCTTACAGTGAGAAGAGTATGAACTTAACCTGAAAAATATTTCTCTGTTCTATAAATCTCTCAGTGACATTTGGATTAATCAAGCATAATTAAATGTAGATAGATTTTTGCCAGATTGTAGTTCAAAATAATATTCATCTATGGAGAGGGTAATATATTCTGTAGAAATTTTATTAAGCACTTTAGTTAAGCAAACACTAAGGAGAACAAAATCAGCCTCAGGAAGGTTAATTACTAAAAAAACACAAAGTATAGTAGATTATGTAAATCATTTTAATTTTGAATACCGTGGCTTGAGCTTTAATTTACATAGAGAGGTATTTTGGATTTGCTTTTCACATTATATTTTCCAAAAGTACTGAATTGCAATTGTATTCTTTAAAAGTTCTAACCACTTTAGGATTCCATTAAGTTTGCTTAACTTTTTCATGTGAGAGTTTTGAAAAGTGAAGAATTACAGTTGCATTCTTTAAAGTGCAACTAATTATTTTAAGGTTCCACTAAGTTTGTTTCAAGTATAAGAACTGGATTTTTATTTCTGTATCTTTAAAGAAGTGATCTTTTTAAGAGAAGTATTAGGAGAGAGAATGTATGTGAAAGAGAAAGAATGTATGTGAAAGCAGCCCGCCGTGCCTGGCCTCTCAATAAACGAAAGTTATTTAAAAAGGTAAAACATGAGAGTTTAGACTATAATGATAAATCTTTGTATTTTAGAAATTTCTTTAAAGGGAGAAGTAAAGAGATCAAACTGATTTTATATGTGATATTTTTTTGCACTCAGACAATTCTGTTTCACTGCCCTTGCATGTCTCAGGGAATAGCCTTTGATAAGAATCCCCATGGAAATCTCTGGAACTCTATCAGGGTGTGTTCAGATTTGGTAGTTCTTGTCTATATTTCTAGAGCTCGAGTTTCAAAAGTATTGTCATCTCAGGAACATAAGATTACCCAAGAAACTTGAACCTCACCCGTGTCACCACTCAGATCCTATGTACTTTAGGCTTTTTCATGATAAATGACACCCAAATGTCCTATGTTTAGTTGGTATACAAAGATCTCTTTATCACGTTTATCTGGGATTTTTATAGAAAAATCCTGCAATTTGATTTTGTTTGATAATTTTGCTTCTGGGTTTTTCAGTGAGGATTCTCTTTTCCATTGGAATTGAATCCTTTGGGGATAATAAAATTTCACTTGAAAGAACATTCTCTTAAATACTTCTAACTTTTGCCAACCTAAAAGTAGCCTGCTAATTGGAATTCTGTGCATAACTTGTGCAAATGGGCCAAAACAGCACAAATATCAAAGATCCTATATACTCAAAGCACTATATTCGCCCTCCAGTTAGCAAAGTAAAGAAATGTCTAATTCTGGCGCTTAGGACTGGTTTAGTGGCCCTTCCGTTTGTCTTTGCCTTCCAAATTGGTTGAAAATGGCAGACTTAGAATGGAATGCGTATTAATAGCCGAACTACTTAGTGTTTTAAAATATTCTCACCTTGAAATTCTTTTCAAGAGAAAATAAAAAGAATCTTAGCATTCAGTTCTAACTCTGTCTTGACTCTTCACATTATGCTTGGCACTGAAAAGGCAATTATAAAAGTTAAATCTGATCGGAAGTCAAAGGCATTCGCCATTTAGCCATGCTAAATGTAGTGTGACAAGAAGAGTTTGCAAAAACAGGTAGGATGAGTATAAAACGTTACATTGTTTATATCATGGCATCCCTTATAAATTCCATCTTTTTGTCATTGAACCTTTATAACCATGGGAAACCTTGATCAGTGTTTTAAATGGCACTGTATTTACATTAAGAACTGGCTTATGTCTTATCTAAAAAACTGCTGAGGTTACTATCCCACATGCTTAATGAGAACAAATGTTTTAGGATAATTACAGCTAAAGCCTATAACTGCAGGGACCTGAATCGCAGGCCACGCAGTCTTGCTTGCCGAGCACTGTCGGGAGGCAGGTTTTACCTGGCTGTCATAACAGCATATAAAACATAAAATAGCAGGGGCTTGCTAAGATCTTGTACCTGCTTCCTTTTTCTCTAGCTGCCTGTGTAACTCTTCCTGGGGAAAGCATCACATAAAGTCCTTTGGTATCTTGCTTTTCACTTTAAAATATTCCTGTTAGAGCTAGCTTGGGAATTTGACCAATAAACTGCACATATACTTAAAATTTTTTTTGACTAGACCAAACTAAATGTCTCTTGACTCTGAGTAGACAGCCAAGGCAAGGTTGACCCAGAAAATATAAATTATTGAGCATTTTAAAAATGTAAGTTGACTTGATTCAATGTTGGAGGAATGGAGTTATATTGCCTCCTCTTTTGTTTCTGTTTGTTGTTACAATTATTCTTCTCTCTTCTCATGCTGCTCTGTGCTAGAACTGAATGCTACACTCTGATTAGAAACCTGGGTTGTGCTTGAGTCCGTCCTGGACACCATGACACACATTTTAGAGGAATGGAATGTACCATTTAGCATTCTGGCTAACCTCATCTCTGCAGAGGTCCTTAGTGTTAAAGTCATTTGGGGTTGTAATTGCTGCTTCAGGTCTATATACACGTCACACCAGCTGTTGCTCTAAGTTCACATCCTCACAAAAGTACACAAGTGCTTGCAACTTAAATATTTCCCAGATTTAGAACACAAGTTGTGGATACTTGAGAAATGCTTGAACCAAATAAGAAAAGTCAATGCGGAGTAAAATATACCATTGTGAACAGATCTAACACTGTGATCATAACTCCTTAACTCGTGAAAGCAGTGTCCAAACTGGGAACTGTAGCTGATTTGACAGGAGAGGAATGTTGACTTATGTATGAAAAGTTCATTACAATATTTGTACCTGTAAGTCCAAATCTGACCTGGCTCACGTTGTGCATCTGTCCGCTTAGTTACAGCGATAAATGCAAGCACGTGTTCAGTGTTCACGAGCTGCCTTGTGGTTCATAGACTGAAGCCAGCCCCCTCGTGTTCTGTGCTGGTCTGTGGCCTGGCTGGTACACACTGTCATGAATGAAGGATGACTTTGGTTTGAGGTAATTTGTCACTCCATGTTCCGTGGAAAAAAGTGGTTGTGATGGTTGGAAAAACATGACCAGAGAAGGATGTGGCTCAGATAATGTTCCCCATAACTTGTGGAGCCATCTGTGGTGTGTGTCATGGCCAAACTAGGCCTGGAGCACGTGGACAATTCTGTACCGCAATCATCGAACAATAAAATGGTAGTTGTGATTCACTGTGCGTCAGTGTGGTCTTTTCCTGAGCTCTGGCCTGTGGTCTCACCCCTCCCACCTGTCAGCTTCGCCTTCTACTCACTAGGTTTCTGCAGTTCAATACTTGAACAGCACCAGCCGCCTTTGCAAGATGCTGGGAATGGATAAGGATACTTACTTAAATTCTTATGATCGATCGAAGGAAAAATAGGTTATTTGGATTCTCTGTAGCAGGGAACATTGAGCTTACCTTTTTTGGAAACATCCTATTGGCAAAATAAAGGAGCTGCTTAACAGTAAACTGTTATAGTGGTATTTTTCAAACTATAATCCATGGATCAGGGAAAAGGGGACCATATAATATATTGTCCAAGCTAGGACACTTTTGACAGTGAGAAAGAGAACTATTAATAATTATGCTGTAGAACATGTGAACAAGTGTAAAACAGGACTGTCCTGGGCAAATTGGGCTTGACTGGCCGTGGACCACCTACACCAGAATTACCTGAAATGCTGGTTAAATGCAGATTCCTTGGCTCTGCCTCAGCTCTACTGATTGAGATTCTCTGGGGCGGAGGCCTAGGAATCTATATTTTAACATATGCCCCAGGAGAATTCTTAAAAAAGTGTAAGTTGTGAACTGCTGCTATATGGAATATGCAGAAGATAAACAACTTGACATTTTCAATGAAAGGGCTGTTGGTTCCACAGTCTCTTCTGAGGAACTGGTGCAGCGCCAACGCCAGAACCCAGTGGCCTCAAAGACATTTGGCTGCAATTATGCACTTCCTGAATAACTTAGGAGCTGTAGTCTTCATATTATTTACCAATGTGTCATTCTTTTACTAACCATTCAATGGGGAATGGGTGTCTTTTTTTAAATTTGAGAGCCACATAACTGCTATCTTGTGTATTTATCGCTAAAAAAAAAACTTCTAGAAAGTTTGAGGCAAGAAACTTGGGTTTGAATGATTCTTGGGGAGTGTTAATGTCAGGAAATCAGCACTTTTGCCTTGATTCTGCTACCAGCTAGCTGTTAACTGCGCCTTAGTTTCCTCATCTATAAAATTAGGGAGTTGGACTACATGGTTCCAAGGTTCATTCCAGGTCTGATATTTTATGGCACTCTTTAAAACCTAAAATGAGAAGCAATTGCTGATCAACTACTTTCATGTTGTAATACAAAACCAGTGACTCTTATGGGCCGGCCCTGTGGCTTGGTGGTTAAGTGCGCGCGCTGCAATGCTGGCGGCCTGGGTTCGGATCCCGGGTGCGCATCGAGGCACCACTTCTCTGTCCATCCTGAGGCTGAGTCCCACATACAGCAACTAGAAGGATGTGCAGCTGTGACATACAACTATCTACTGGGGCTTTGGGGGCAAAAACTTAAAAAAAAAAAAACAAAAAACCAGTGACTCTTGAAAGTGACAGTGGCTTTAGTGAGAATTTAAAAATTATCCATCTCTGTTTTATCAAAAGTCGACCACTGGGGAATAACGTTCTTGTAGCAGCCACTCCTGCCCTGTTTTGAAATCCATAAAGTATGGTTTAGACTCACAAAGAGACCCTTCAACTCAAGAGTCTATGGTTTCATGAAGCTTCTGCAGAGCAATGCACTTTTGTGTATGTTTTTCCTTCCTTGTCCTTCATTTCAAAATTCTTTCCAGTGACTTGATGTGTGTTTACAAATGATTATCTGCTGATATTTTCAGATTTTGACTTCATAATAACACATAGATGTACTCTTTGATCTCATTAATAAATCATAAGGCATCGTGTAGGACGGCTTGCCTCTGGGAAGGGTTTCTGTAGACCACCGCTCACCACTAGAACTCTGTGATGATGGGAATGTTCTCTATCTGTGCTGTCCAACATGGTCACCACTAGCCACCTGAACACTTAAAACGTGGCTAGCTCGACTGAGGGACTGAATTTTTAATTTAACTTGATTTTTATTAATTTAAATTTAAATAGCTACCTGTGGCTAGAGGCTACCATATTGGACAGTGCAGATATATACAGGCATTACGCACTGTTGAATTTTTTTTTTAACAATTTATTTATTTATTTCTTCCCCCAAAGCCCCAGCAGATAGTTGCATGTCATTGCTGCACATCCTTCTAGCTGCTGCATGTGGGACATGGCCTCAGCATGGCCGGAGAAGCGGTGCGTCGGTGCGCACCCCGGATCGAACCCGGGCCGCCAGCAGCGGAGCGCGCACACCCAACCGCTAAGCCACGGGGCCGGCCCACTGTTGAATTTTTTAAATTAACATTGAGCACCCATTTTCACCAGTCACTGGGCTGGGTGCTTAACGGTACCTTTGTCATTTCTAAATGTTGGTCTTAAAATGGATCCTTTGCCCTCTGCTCATTGATGACACTTTCATCAACGTAATAGTCTCTCTTTGAATAAGAAAATAACAAAATTATATTTAGACCTTTTCCTGTCATAGCTGCATGGCAAATCAATTCTCATCTGCACTGTAAAAGGCATTGACCATCAACCTCTTTGAATCCAGTTCTCTCAGAGGCTCACTTTGTTCCCTGAGTTGAAGTATTAACTATAGCCCAGAGGGTCTCAACCTGGCCACGTCAGAATCTCCAAGTCCTAGGCCCCATTTCAGATCCATATCATCAGAGGGTCTCTGGGAAGTATTTTTTTAAGAGTTCTCTAGGAGATTCTAAAATGTGACAGGGTTGAAAACCACCAGTAAAGTCCAAACTACAAACCAGCCTTTGAGAATAGCTAGAATGCTGGCAGCAGAAAATCCTGTCTCCCTGGCACAGAGCACACCTAGGGTCCTTGCAATTTTATTGATGTTCTGTTTAATGGGTGATTGGAAAATGCTTAAAAGAGAGAAAACGCCTTGTCAATTTGGATTTGGGGCAACTATGCACCCTTGCTGTTTCCTTCTGTGCAAGAAACTCTAAGCTAAGCTAATGCTACTCTGGCATTCTTGTCCAAACAGAATTTGCCAGTCCTCAAACAAAATAAACATGTTAATGATTTCAACAACAGTGATGGATGCAGAAGCTTTTGACAGTTCCTTAGTAACAGCTTCATATAATAGTGTAATTATTTCTAAAGTTAGAGATAATTATTGTCACCTTAGCACAATAATTGGAGCAGAGCTTCCTATATGAAAACTGCTCTTTTTCTAGGGCTTCAACTGGTAACAAAATAGCAATTTATGAGGGAAAATAATGCCCAATTATTCAGGTGAGGGAGGCCTGTCATCCACCTGCAATCAAAGAATCTAGGATGAGACCTCGAATGACCGTCTCATCCATAAAACAGCCCTGTCCAATATAGGCGAGTTGAACCTATTCCAGGTGAGGCCTCGTGCCTGTTTGTTAAGGCCTTCAAGGAAAGAGTGTGTGCTGACACCTTGTGACTTTGCTAGCTCGCCCAGAGCCTTGCTGTTCATGGGCCTAACTAAGGGGTGACACCGTCAGTCTCCTCCACTCAGCATTCTCAAAGAGTGGCTTCTAATCAACAGAAAATCTACTTTTTAAAATCTATTTTTCCTATTTCCCCCACTCTGAGTAACTCTGGGAAAGTTAGAGCACCCTACCCCAAAGAGATTAGTCAAATAATGTGAAATTAGTAAGTTTGTAAAATTCTATTTGGTAGAATTAGAACCATGGACTCTTCCTCAGGAGCTCAGTAAAGTCAAAGGTAGGGCCAGTCAGGAGAGGCCAGAGTTGAGAGTCAAGCTACTGAACTGAAATTGGGGTGGGGGCAGGTATAGTGTCCTCTTTAGTCTTTGTATCCCCAGCTTTATTGGGGATGTTTATTGAATGCTTCAGACAGGAATGTACAGTAGACCTTAAGTTAAAATACAAACCAAAGGCCACAATGGGAAAATGTTACTCTGCAAAGGAGCATGATGTGCCTTGATACTGGATGGCTGGATGTGAGTCCCAGCTTAAACTGGTTGTGGTCAACATCCAAGGACCAAAAAACAAAAAACAAAAGCAAAAGCAAAAGCAAACAAACAAAAAAACAGAAGAGAATAGGCAGGAAACAGATTCTGCCTGACAGCCAGAAACTGTATTTCTGGGCTTGTTTCAGCGGGTGTGTGTCCAATGATCCAAGACTTTGGTTAGCTACCCTTTCACTTCTTGTCCTCTTGGTATAGCCAAGAACGAATTGGAGGATATGTACAGAGAATAGGGAGGGGGAGCCTTAAACTGCCTTCTCTACCAGTCATGGCTCCACGTTCATAAGATGAAGACTCAACACTTCCTCTCCTCATGGACCAATTAGCATGTTCATTTGGATCAGAAATCTCCCATTATACCTATTCTGTGCTTCCTTTGTGGATGTCAAGACTCGAGAGAAACATTTAAACAGATTCATCATGAGTAAATGTAGGAATGTTAAAGAGAAGAACATGAATCTTTCTATCTGCATGAGGGTTACTGTTCCTCAACTCTGTCAGGACCTGGAAAAAGGTTCAAGAGTGTATGACCACTGTCTTCAGTCACCTCGTGGTAGACAAAATGATGGCCTCCCCCTCAGAACCTGGGAATATGTTGTATTACGTGGTAAGAAGGAATTAAAGTTGCTGATGACCTTAAAATAAGGAGATTTTCCGGGATTATCCTGGTGGGTCCAAAGCAGTCACAAGGGTCCTTATAAGTAGAAGGGAGAGGCAGAAGGAGCATCGGAGTGATGTGATGTGAGAAAGACTGGACTGGCCACTGCTAGCTTTAAAGATGGAACGGGGCCATGAGCCAAGGAATGCAGGTAGCTTCTAGAAGCTGGAAAATGCAAGAAAATGAATTCTCCTCTAGAGCTTCCAGATGGGAACGCAGCCCTGTCAGCACCTTAATTTTAGCCTAGGAAGACCCATTTTGGACTTCTGAACTCCCGAACTGTAAAACAATAAACCTGTGTTGTTTTAAGCCACTAAATTTGTTACAGCAATAGGAAACTAATACACACCTCTTCAACTTCTTTCATCTATCGTTAATCCCTGGGTACCAGATACAGAAACAAATGGAAAAAGAAATCAGTGACTCCATTGTGTTAACGTCAATTTGTGGTCAGGCTAGTAAATGGCATCTTGTCAACATCTGTCCAGTGGAACATGACTACCAGACAAGAAAGACTGGTTATCTCCCCAAGCTATATAAATGAGTCATGTCCTGCCATGTGCATGGCAGAAGATGACACGATTTCTTTGAACTTGGAAATTTCAGAGTGACAAGTTCATTTGCAAGTATAATAAGGTGAAAAGGTCCCTGTGGAAAGGGTAAAGGATCTCAACTCTTTCAGGTATGGATTCATTAACTCTTTTAAAATGGAAGGTTACATAGCAAATATTTTAGTTATAGCTAATCCCTCCATCAGGACTCTGCTTTTATGAACATGGTAACCTCGCAGATCAATTCGTTTCTCCACCCCCCAAGAAAGATAATGAAGGTAAGGAGAATAAAAATCGCTTCTAGGAGACAATATAAGTCAACCCTACTCTGAACATTTCTCCTCAAGTTTCTCACATTAGGGCAACTGCAGCTGAGATTCAGCTAATATGGTGTTTTGTCTAGAATATAAGTTATGGCAGTGCAGAGGGCTTAACGTAAAGATCACTTAGCACCTACAGATATTTATGCTCTTAATGATATTTTCAGATTTTACTGGTTATGTATTGGTTTTTACTTGATGGTTTCTTAAAGAATTTGATCACTGGGTATACTTTGAGGACTTCAATACAAGAGGACTGTGTGTGTGCGTGTGGTTTGTGTGTGTGTAAACATTTTTGTATAGTGTACCTTTTTATCCCAGGGATTCTGTTTATTAACAAAGACTAATTCTCCTTGGGGAAAATATCAGAGATCTTAAACATGAGTTTTATTATGCCTTAGAACTCATTATTTTTCCCTTGAGAACATTTCTGAGGTATCATGGAAGTCAAGAAGAAACCTGTAACTATTACTCTAAATACAACCTGTCAAGAATGTGTTTGATCTGTGTGGCAAAGCCAAGTAATATGGTCTATGAATAATAGGTATTCTGCTTTTAAATGAATTCCCTTGCTGACTATAGGCCTGGCTTTATTTCTTCTAGACTCGAGGTTAATATTAGAACTGTTGTCACTTCAAAGAGCTAACCCTCGCCAGATGGAGTTAATAGATGCTCCTAAATTCGGCTAGTGGAGGGCATGAGCACAATTCTCAGAACATCGACGTCTGCCTTAATTGCTGGATTTGGGATCCTGATTTAGCACCTCCACCCCCATCTATCTGCTTCAGCTTATCGAAGTAGCTTTTCCACAAAGAGGGAAAAGTGGTGGAAATGGCCACGCCCCACTGTTTAGATACAGGTGAGAAGCATTCCATCAGGTGACAAGATAAGAAAGGCGAGTGGAACCGGAGAGCCTGTGGAGGCTGAGGCAGGAAAGCAGCCACTGATGCTGATGCTGTCCGTTGTGGGGGCCCCAGGGGCCTGGAGGCACCTCTCCAGCTTCCCACTCAGTGAGAGGTAAGCACCTTCTCATGGTCGCCCAGTGACAGCATCCTAGCTGGAGAAGCTTAAGGACAATGCAGGTTGCCTCATAAATTCCTTTACAGGCAAAGGAGACCTCAGAAACCATTTCCTTCAACTCCCTCATTTTACAAAAGCAGGCACTGAGGCCAGAGAAGTGAAGTGGTTTGGCCAAGGTCACAAAGCAACTTAGTGGTGGAGCCTACAACTCAGGGTCCTGACTGGGCTCCCCACGTGAACTCCCATCCAGATGAGTCTGTTCCTAACTAGCTTTTAAGTCAGGTGTGGGCCCCTTGGCAATGCCAAGACTTTGCCCTGTGATGCACAGTACCGAGTCCCATCTTTCTGAAGTGCTGGGGCCACAGCTGGGCAGAGCCGGGACAGCTGCTACTCCTGCATTTTTCCACATTGAGCTAGAACTCACAAATAGGAACACAGAGCAACACACTTTTAAGAAACACAACCAGCAAAAGTGCAATTCTGCATCCCTTTATTTATAAACAAATTGGGATTGACGTGTTCCGTTTGGGAGCAGGAGTGGGTATGGAGCAGGAGGGCGGGAGGGGTTGGGGGCTGATTCCAGAAGTTCGCGTTATTCAGCACCAGAGCAAATGCTTGGGCATAAGGTCGTGCTTTAACCCAGACAAGTTGTTGTTGTCTTGTCTTATGTACAGCATAGTCAAGTGTGTATGCTCTTCTTATGGCTTTGTCCCGGGACACATTGCAGTGACACAACAAAAAATTCAGGTCTAGAGATAAATAGAAGTTGCAAATGCCTCATGAGCTCATTCTTTTTAAAAAAGTCTGATGGCCAAGACTAGTGCTGAATGGATACCTGAGGAACAGGGACATCTCTGCTCCATACGGGCTCATCTGATTCAGCTGAGTCTGTGACGCCATCTCACATGTCTCCCTGGGGTATGCCTGGGTGCTAAAATAAGTCCTGAAGATGGAGAGAAAACAAATCCACATTCTTCCCGTCCCTCCCTCAAAGGATGGATTTGCAGTAACTACAGCCTAAGGCATGGAGCAAGATTGCAATCCCACAGCTGTGTCTCTTCCCCACAGAGCAGGTCAGAAGGCAGACTTCAGTCTTGCGACCCTTCCTCTTGAGGTTGGTTTCCTTGACCTTCATAAGGTCCTGGAACATGGGAGCTGGCGTGCCAGAAATAGGCCATTCAATGTGACTATGACATTACAATTCCCTCATGTTTTTAGCTGGCGGAAGGGTGAATGTTTGATTTCAGGCTCCCCTGGGAGGAGGATGTGGCAGCTAATGGAGAAGTGCTGAAATGGGGAAGTTAGGGGGCAGGGAATCCACATCCTGCATGGATACCCACTAGCCTTGGTGTCTGTGAAAGGAAGCCTGCCTTCTTCACCTGTTAGGGGATGAGTGACACCTTGAAAGGGAGCGGAAAGTAACTTCTCTCCCACTCCCACCCTCCTTCAGCCCTAGTTTCACCCATCTCCATAACCTGCCCCCTTCCACAACCCTAATGGCTGTTCTCTAGTCCTCAGTCTGAAGCTTCCTTCTCTTTCTAGGGCAAAAAGAATCTTTCCTTGCTTTTTGTCATTTCTACTTTCCTCTCCAAGCTTGTATCATACTTTCTACATTTCTCACTCCAGCCTTAACTCACTCTTGGCCATTACTGTTGACTGGCTGGCCCAAACAAAGAGCCACCATCTCCTCCTAGGAGCGGGGAGGGGCTGGGAGAAACTGATGGCCAGGAAGCATCAAAAGTTGGGTGGCAGAATGCCCCCCATTCCTCTCAGTAGTTTTGTAGCCTCAGGAGGGTGGGGGGAGGGTATTGCTAGAGGTCAGGAGGGGGACATAGGGTGAGATTTAGAACCCACTTGTGGCTTATTTTGGCCCATCCCTAGAATATCCCAGGCATTGGTCACTTCCCATAATTGGCAGCTATGATGGCTCTGAATCTGATGAGTCACATAAGTGGCACCTGTCAGTATGGTGTGTAAGGCCTACAAACTTATATTCAGCCTGATGCATCAACCCCACAGTGTTTGCCTCAGAGCAGGATTCAGGTAAAAGTGGATCTATCTGCCCTGGGCCGTGGCATAAGTGCATAAAAGGCCTTCCCAAGAGAGAGTTTCCCCTAACAAAGTGAGTCTTGAAATGGTTGAGAGTGCAAGTTTTCGTTAACCTCCTTTCCTCTCTCCAGGCACCTCTCTTTTCCTTTTCTCTTCTCTTGTTCTCACCACCTTGCCTTGCCCACTGGTCTCCTCCTCCTTTCACGGCTGCAAGTGTCACCAACTGAAATGGTAGATATATGTGCTCAGTTTGCCCTGGGTGCATGATGGCAGAGAGAGACCAAATGGACACCACAGAAGAATGGGGCCTTTGCCTTTCTCTGCAGAGCAATGCTCTGGGCCTTGACTACAAAAAGAAGTTTTCTTCTCATAAGCCATGTTCCCACCAGCTCTCTGTCCCTCGTGAATGCTTGACAGAGTCTGGAGAAGGTGCCAGCAACAAGGGGGTTCCAAGCCAGCTTAGCCTCATGGTTTTGCTTTCCAACAAACACCACTCATCTCCAGGTGGGCAGGGAGGTAGTTCAACCCCAACACAAGGGGGAAAGACATGCCACCTTCCTTTATTGGTTGCCCCACTTGTCACCCAGAAGTCTGGTTCCCAAGGCCTCTGAAAAGGGGTGTTTCTGTCACAAAAGATGCTGAGCTCTGCCCATAAGTTGCTGGTTTGGGCCTCTGCTCAGTCAGGCCCCAGCTCTGTCTCTAGCTTTGCTGCGACAGCCAGGCAATGCCTCCTATTCAAGAGTGTGGTTGTACACCTTGATGACCTGCTCATTTCCTACTGTGATTAGGGGAAGTAACTTCAAACAACTCAGCAGGAATGCTTAGAGTTTTCATCCCATTTATCAAACCCAAGGCCGGGGATAACTACAATACTACCTAGAGCATTCAGATGCTGAGCTCAGACTGAGGTTCCCACAGTGCTCTGTGAAACTCTTCAGAGCTTCCCTCCACCCCAAAATATTACGGGAGGCCATGAGAACAACATACTAATTTCTTGGTTGGGACAAGACACTTCTATAAGAATCCAGGATGAGCATTTGACAAAGTGCCCAAGTCACAAGGGAACCAGGTAGTTCTGTAGACCAAGGATTTCAGCAGGGTATTAGGGTGAGTGCAGGAGAGAGGAGGATATTGTAAAATGCCATCACCATATATATTCATATTGCATATGGTATACACCCTGGATGGCATATTTGGAGCATACATAGAACAGATACGTGCAGGTAGCACCCCCTATTGGTATACTATGTGGTTTGGTACATCAAACTGTTACTTGAGGTCTATGAAACTGTTAACTGGTCAGAAATGGGAAAAGCCATTCCATAAAAGCATCCTTTAAGGAGAAGCTTCAAGAAACATTTACCATCTGCTAAACTTGGAGCAAAAGCAAAGCAGCTCCTCTTTTATATATATATACACATATATATATATATACACATAGGATGTGTTTCTTTGTTGCATTTCCCACAGATTAAGGTAATTTCTGGAAAACAATGAAGTCAAACCAATGATGAAAAAGTACAACCAGGAGCACATTAGGCCTTATGTGGAGTTCTCCTTGACAAAATTGCTCTTTGAATAAGAAATTAAGGTTCACATTAGATGACCTTTTATATATCTGGCCTAAAGCAAGGCTTCACCTGCGCCACATTCCTGGAACTGGAAAGAATTGATGCGTTGCAACATCAGGTCTCAGTGGCGAAACTGAGAAGGTTGAAATTTGTCTTTAACTCGACTATTTCAGAAGCACTTTGCCACCTCTATTGGAAACAACTTTATTCTGGCAGAGCTGGGGTGGTAGGAGGCGACGTGCAGGGCCCTTATGAGCCAGAAGTAGCAGGTTGAGGGAACAGCCGCTTCCACAGGTGGTATACTCGGTAAGGGTGGGTGTAAGGGCCAAGACAGAAGACACCCCACTCAGTGCAAGTCTCCCAGGGGTGCTCTGCATCTTTCCTTAGCAAGGTTAAAGCAGAGTGATTCTAGATGATGCTAAGGTTTGTACAGGTTGTCTGGCTGGAAACCTCCATGCAGAGCCCAAGTCTTGGGCTGAGTGGAGACTGAGGGAGAGCTGGTCCCAAGGCCTTCCGTTAGCAGAGCTCAAGGTCTCCCTGATGAGCTATAGCTCCTGTGACTTTTACCCTTCGAACACCACCCAGGCATCCCCGGTGTCCCCGCCCTCCTCCCCAGCCTATGTGGTGTAGCTCTTGTTGTCTGCCAGCAGCCTTTACTTCTCATCCTCATCCCCCTCACTCATGCTGCTGATGGAGGCTGAGGCTGCTTTGGGCGAGGAGGGGGGTGAGGTTTTGATCGGGAGCCATGAGAAGGTGGGCGACGGGGAACGGGAAGGGGACCGGCTCCTGGTAGGGCTGCTCACGGGGCTCTGCTTCGGGGACAAGGCCTGCAGCATCCGGCTACTCCTCTCCTGGAACATCTGCTTCTAGAGAGAAACGTGAGAGAAGGCATCTGTTAACTTAGCCATCTGAGGTGGCAGCAAAATAAAAAGGAAAGGCAGGAAGGGGAGCTACTACCCCAAAACTCCTGTGCCCACAAACACAGACTTGTACCACAGTCCACGTTGTCCAAGACTATCTCCGGGGAGCAGCGGAGTGAAATTCAGGGGCAGTGAAATGCTGACACATAAGATTCCCAACACTGCTGGTTCTCGGGACTCACTCCTTCTTGCCTTCTTTTCCTCCATCTACAAAATTTAACTGTCTATGATTTGCCAGGCAAATAGTAATGTTCTAGGTACCAGAAAGGTAGCAGGAAAGAAAACAAAATCCCTGTCCTGTCCTCATGGATATGAGGAGGAAGCACACAATAAACAAAACGAACAAAATACGTGGAACTATGGCCTGTGAGAAAAATAAAATGAGAGGATAGCAAATGGGGGGGCAGCCGGGCTGCAATTGTAAATAGGGTGCCCAGGGAAGGCCTCCTGGAGAAGAGGCTATTTGAACAAAGACCTGAAAGAGATGAGGGACAAGACCACGTAAATGGAAATCAGGGGGAAGCACAGTCCAGACAGAGAACTCCAAGAAGAGAGCACGCAGGGCATCCGAGGAGGAGCAGGGAGGCCATGGTGGCTGGAGTGGAGTCACCTGGGGCAGGTGGTTAAGAGGAGGTCACCAGAGGAGTGACAGATGGCTGTGCCATGTAGGCTCTTGGTGGCCACGTGAGAACTTTGGCCTTTACTCCGAGGAGAAGAGAAACCTGAAGAGTTCCTTTACCTCTGGAGTTCCGAGCACAAGAGTAACAAACTCTGACTTTTGTTTGAAAAGGACTACTTGGGCCGCTGTGCTGGGAACAGCCTACAGCAGAGCAAGAGCAGGTGCAGGGAGAACAGTTAAGGGCCCACTGCAATAAGAATCCAAGAAGATGATGGTGCCCTGGACCAGGCTGATGGCCGTGAGGGTGGTGAGAAATGGCTGGAGCCCCAATGTATTTTTTTCCCAAATTTTTTATTAATGTATAATTTACTTAAAATAAAAATCACCCTTTTAGTGTACAGTTCTGTGAGTTTGGATAAATGCCTACATTTGGGTGACCCCTTCCCCCCCCCCACAATCAAAGTGTAGGAGAGTTCCATCACCCACCCAATTCCCTCGGGACCCTTTGTCGTCACCCCCCCACCCCCAGCCTCTGGCAACAGATCTGTTTTCTGTCCCTACAGTTTCTGCCTTTTCCAGAATGTCATCTAAATGGAATCATGCAGTATGTGGTCTGGCTACATTTTGACGGTAGCGCCAACAGGACTTGCTGACAGATGGGATGTGGGGTGTGGGAGGAAGAGGAATAGAGTGACTCCAGCTTCTGCCCTGGGAAACTGGAAAGCCGGTGATGCCATTTGCCGGTTTGGGGGACTATGAGGGTGGAGGAGGTTTGAATGGTAACATGGCTTTTCCAGTTCAGGACCTCAGGTGACTGTTGCCCAGTGCTTTCAGAATTGAGCCCTTACCTGACGCTGTTCTTCAGCCTTCTGGAAAGCCCAATCTTGGCCCAGAGTCCCTGAGCCCCAGACCTCCCAGTGCTGCCAGCCGATTTGACCTTCTGCTCTTTGCCTGCAGCTTGGTCCCCACACATTCAGTTCCACCCACTTCTGAGCACCCTGCCCATGCTCCTGGGCTCTCTGCCCTCGTGTCTCTCCATTGCTCGTCACTGAGCCCCAGCCCCCAGCAGCTCGGCCCAATCTTTTGATCTTAAACTGGCTCTGAGAGCCAATTCTCCTATTAGCCATTTTAGACTTTGCTTGTCGTTTGAGTTACTCATTTTACAGACTACTACTGAGCCCCCTGGCGACCAGCTGCTGCACAGAGGGTGGTCATGTCAGAGCTGGCGCTTCAGTGATGCATCGGAATATGGGGTTGAGGTGGGGAGCGAGCTTGTGGGGCTGATGGAGGGCTCGCTTTCCAAGTAGAGGGCGCTAAGTAGAGGGTACTAGGTACAATTGCTTGGTGGGACTAGAAGCTCGAGTGCCTGTTGGGTGGCAGGAGCCTGGGGCTGAGTACCAGAAGGAAGCTGGATTTTTTTCCCCAAGAGCCCCTGGAAGATTTTAATCAAGGGATGAGTATGATTAGATTTATGTTTTAGAACTATCTTTGGCTGTGAGCATAAAAGCAAAGAAAGAAACCATAAAGGAAAAGAGGATGTTTGGCTATATAAAAATTTAAAACTGTCCCTAAAAAAAGCACCATGAAATAAGGTAAAAAGCAAATTAAAAAATAGGGGAACATTTTTCCAACATTTAACTACAAATTATGGATCTTAGTATATAAACAGAGCTTACAAATCAAAAAGAAGGTAAAAACTTTCATAGAAAAACGAGCATATGGCATACACAAGCAATTCACAGAGGACTTATAAATGAACTACAAAAAATGTTCAGCATCACTAGTAATCAAACAAATGCAAAATGATTGAAGTGAGATACCTTTAGATAAATCAAATCACTAAAGATTTTTATCTTCCCAACTTAAAAAAATTTTTTTCCAGTTTTATTGAGATATAATTGACATACAGGACTGTATAAGTTTAAAGTGTACAGCATAATGATTTGATTTATATATCATGAAATGATTACCACAATAAGTTGACATCATCATCTCATATAGATATAAAAAAATTTTTTTTCCTGGTGATGGGAACTCATAGGATCTACTCTCTTTAACAACTCGCATATATACCGTACAGCAGTGTTAACTATAGTCACCATGCTGTACACTACATCCCTATACTTACTTATAACTGGAAATTTGTACCTTTGGCTACCTTCATCCAATTCCCCCCCAACTCCCTGCCTCTGGTAACCACAAATCTGATCTCTTTTTCCATGAGTGTTTTTTTTTTCATTAAGATTCCACATATAAGTGAGATCATACAGTATTTGTCTTCTGTGTCTGACTTATTTCACTTAGCATAATGCTTTCAAGGTCCATCCATGTTGTTGCAAATGGTAGGATTTCCTCCTTTTTATAGCTGAATAATAGTCAGTTGTATTTATATACCACATTTTCTTTATCCGTTCATCCGTCAATGGACACGTAGGTTGCTTTTATATCTTGGCTATTTAAATAATGCTGCTATGAACATGGGGGTGCAGATATCTCTTTGAGTTAGTGTTTTCATTTCCTTTGGATATATTTCCAGAAGTGGAATTGCTGGATCATATGGTAGTGCTAGTTTTAATTTTTTGAGGAGCCTCCATTATGTTTTCCATAGTGTCGATACCAATTTACAATCCCACCAATAATGCGTAGGGGTTCCCTTTTTTCCACATCCTTGCTAGCATTTATTATTTCTTGTCTTTTTGATGCTAGCCATTCTAATGGGCGTGAGGTGATATCTCATTGTGGTTTTGATTGGCCATTTCCCTATTGATTAGTGATGTTGAGCAACCTTTTCATGTACCTGTTGGCCATTCATGTATCTTCTTTGGAAAAATGTCTATTCGAGTCCTTTGCCCATTTTTAAATTGGATTATTTGTTTTTTTGCTATTGAGCTGTATGAGTTCTTTATCTATTTTGGATATTAGCCCCTTATCAGATATGTGTTTTGCATATATTTTTCCCATTCTGTAGGTTGTCTTTTCATTTTGTTGATGGTCGCTTTTGCTGTGCAGAAGCTTTTTTGTTTGATGTAGTCCCACTTATTTTTGCTTTTGTTGCTTGTGCTTTTGGTGTCATATCCAAAAAATCATTGCCAAGACCTATGTCAAGGAGCTTTTCTCCTATGTTTTCTTCTAGGATTTTTATGGTTTCGGTCTTACATTGAAGTCTTTAATCCATTTTGAGTTAATTTTTGTGAGTGGTGTGAGATAGGGGTCTAGTTTCATTCTTTTACATGTGACTGTTCAATTTTCCCAGCACCGGTTTGTTCCTCTTTTCCTGGTTCCTTAAGGCATAATGTTGTTTGAGACCTTTCTGTGTATTAATGTAGGCATTTATTGCTATGAAATTCCTCCTTAGAACTGCTTTTGCTACAACCCATAAGTTTATGTTGTGTTTCCATTTGTGTTTGTCTCAAGATACTTTGTAATTTCTCCTTTGATCCACTGGTTGTTCAAGATAATGTTTAATTTCCATGTATTCATGAATTTTCCAGTTTACCTCCTATTATTGATTTCCAGTTTCATACCATTGTGGTCAGAGAAGATTTAAATCATACCAAGTATCTTCTTGAATTTGCTACGACTTGTTATGTGGCCTAACATATGGTCTATCTTAGAAAATGTTCCATGTGTGCCTGAGAAGAATATGTATTCTGTTGTTAGATAGAATGTTCTGTACATGTCTGTTAGGTCCATTTGGTCTATAGTGTTGTTCAAATGTGCTACTTCCTTGTTGATTCTCTGTCTGGATGACCTCTCCATTGTTGAGAGGGGTACAGTCATGCATCATTTCACAACGGGGATACGTTCTAAGAAATGTGTCATTAGGTGATTTCTTCATTGTGTGAACATCATACAGTGTACTTACACAAACCTACATGGTATAGCCTACCACACAGCTAGGCTATATGGTATAGCTTATTGCTCCTAGGCTACAAACCTCTACAGCATGTTACTGTACTGAGTACTGTAGGTAATTATAACACAATGGTATTTGTGTACTGAAACATATCTAAACATAGAAAAGGTACAGTAAAAATATGGCATAAAAGATTTAAAAAATGGTACACTTGTATGGGGCACTTAACATGAATGGAGCTTGCAGGACTGGAAGTTTCTCTGGGTGAGTCAGTGGGTGAGTGGTGAGCGGATGTGAAGGCCTAGGACATTACTGTACACTACTGTAGACTTTATAAATACTGTACACTTAGGCTACACTAAATTCATTAAAAAAGTTTTCTTCAATAATAAATTAACCTTAACTTACTATAACTATTTTACTTTATAAACTTTTTAATTATTTGACTTAAAACACTTTGTATAGCTGTAC